CCACCCATGAAATGACAAAAGAATATAGAGAATATAGAAGATCCAATTAGTGACTGTTTCTTGGCATTCCCAGCTGCTGTTGGGAAGATCTTCTCCTCCGGTTCTGTAGGTTCCGTAGGCCTCGACACTCCGATGTCTTGACAAAAGCCTTTCCAGTAAACCTGCAAGGTGCCAGACACCATTCCAGCGAGGCGTGGATGGCGTATACAACCATATAAATTGCTAGAGGTGATGGGATTTTATTATATATATACATATATATATATACATATATGTATATACATATATATATATACATATATATATATACATATATATATATATACATATATATATATACATATATATACATATATATATACATATATATACATGTATATATATATACATATATGTATATATATATTACACACAGAACTAAGCACCGACATGAATGGGTACCCTTTGGTAATTTCACATCGCTTCTTTTTGGGGAAAATATGGGATAGTCATCAATAAATTGGTCATTGTGAATTGCCAGCCTGCGAAGAAAGCGTCCATGGGATGATGTTGAGAGGCCTGGCCACTATGACATCCCAAAGATCCCAAGGATACAAGTGGCTTGTTGTCTGTATAATAGTGTAATTATATATTAAAACATTATAAAACATTATAAAACCTTCCATCACACAATTTAGAAGTGGTTCAAAGATGTTCAAAGGATATGCCAAGAGCACCGTACCAGCTCCTTGATCAACAAAGACCGCCTGGCGGTGCAGTGGTGGCTTTCCTATGGAAACTGATTGGTGATTTCGATGACCCGGCGACAGCCGAACGTCGGCAATTGCTGGGGTGGCTGTAGTGGAGGTCTCATCAAACTTGAATTCCCAACCACTCGGCACCTCAGTGTGCATCTTAGTGTGGAGCGCATCTCATCACCGGCTGAATGACATGTTCTCCCTAAAGTGCACTGAAACGCCGCAGAAAACCTCTGGCACTTTGGATATTCACTCGATTTTATTCTGGGAGACCTGTCACTTCTGTTCTCAAGTTGAGGCTAAGGAAACTGCTGGACACAGCGCAGCAATCTGCCGAGGAAATGCACCGGTCCGGATGGAATAATTGTTGGTTGCACTTCTTCGCTAAAGATACGACCCATCTTTTTCGCTAAAGACTCGGCCATCTCCGGCTCTGGTTCAATTGAAACTCAAAAAACGTTTGGGATGGTTTCCAATAATCCCCATTTCCCCATTGTCACCCGTATCTGTGGTTAAAATCCCCATTGTAAAAGTGCCATATTTTTTGTGGTGAAATCATGAGATCCCATCCCACAAAATACGGGTTCCTGACTTAGGTCGTTTGTATTCATGATGGCTCATCATAATCCCCAAGAGACTAGATAGGTTAGATAGGTTCATAACAGTATAAGCAACTCTATATCGCAACCAACCATAGCCAATCAACAATGCTGTATCTTTAATCATTAAATCACACTATTAATCTCCATGTTTGACGTTTCAAGCCCCATTCTGGGATGGTTTTTTTACCACCATCTTTGATGTTTCAACCACATTTGATCCGAAGAAAACTCCATGTTTCGAACGGCTTTCGAGGCATTTTTGCAACGGTGAAACGAAAGCTTCAACCGCTACCCCCATGAGTTTTCCATCCACGGTCTCGCCTTGGCCACCCAAAAATGTCTCAGTTCGGCCGCTGCGAATTGCGCCACAGAGCCCAGCCCGAAGTAACTGGCGAAGCCCTGACGGGGCGACGGAAATCTGCAGAAATCGGTGATCTGTGTGGTGTGTGATTATGATGCGTTGTTTATTTTGTTTATTTATTGGTCTATTGATTTATGTTATCTACTTATTTTATGTGTTTAGTTATTTATTCATTCATTTATTTATTCATTCTTATGATGCGTTGATGATGCGTTGTTTATTTCGTTTATTTATTGGTCTATTGATTTATGTTATCTACTTATTTTATGTGTTTAGTTATTTATTCATTCATTTATTTATTCATTCTTATGATGCGTTGATGATGCGGTGTTTATTTTGTTTATTTATTGGTCTATTGATTTATGTTATCTACTTATTTTATGTGTTTAGTTATTTATTCATTTATTTATTCATTCATTTCTTTATGCATTTACTTATTTATCTATGCATTTATGCGTGTATTATTTTTATTGTCATCATCATTATTATCATTATTTTTGTCAGTAGTAGTAGTAGTAGTAGTCGTGGTGGTGGTGGTGGTGGTAGTAGTAGTAGTAGTCGTAGTAGTAGCAGTAGGAGGAGGAGCAGCAGCAGCAGCAGTATCAGTATCATTATCATTATCTCATTGTCATTGTCATTATCATTATTACTGCTATGAGTATGTGTGGAAGAGATATGTTTATATGATTATATGTATTTAGGTATATCATATCGCAGATAACGAAAAAATGCGCGTGCGGTCTATATGTATATATATACATATTTATTTATATATATATATATATTTATTTACTATTATATATCATATGATATCAAGAATTGTGTTGGAACTACAGTGAAGCAAAGGGTTTTGGTCCAACAATCGTGAGCAGGTCAGCAGGTCGTCAGAACTGACAGCCTCCACCACAGCGGGATAGAGCACTGGGAAACGGTTGTAGAGCACCACGTGAAAGATACCTCCCAGTCGATGATTCTTGGGAAACAGTGAAACATCTGGCGTCTGAAAATATTGGAGAAAATCCCCGTTTTTCCAGGGGATTTTCATCACCAGAAATTCCCTTCCAATACATGGGGCTATCCCATGATATCCCCTATTTTCAGAACCCGTGTCAGCGATGATTTCACCAAAACAGTCACCTGCAGCTCCATGTTTACTCGGCGCACTGCTTGACGCATGAGCTGGTTCTGCTGATCCCTGGCACACTGGTCTCAGATGAGAATGGGGCCCATCGTCCTTGCTTTATCAAATGGAAGAACGAAATGGTTCCCAAATTACAGCAGTTTAAAGTTTGACATGTCATGATCGCAGTTGTGATTGCAGTTGGTCAGCTACCCCTATCAAACGCCACTCTTACAAGACATAATGATGGACCGGATGCTTTGACCGGGTATTTTCTGGGTTTACCACATGGCCTTGTCCAAAACCAGAGTACACCCAAGGAAAGCACTGATCAACCGCCATGGTTCCCATTCAAATTGCCATAATTTGGGGATAAATCCGTACTACTTTAAAATTGGTAGGATATCCTCCGCTTTTGGACAAACACATTTCCACTATTCATCAGCTAAATCTATATATGTTTCTGGTTACCTCTCCATTTCGGCCAAGTAAATCCCTACTTTTTGTGGTCAAATGACAATTGTTGATGGCTAACAAGTTGAAATCTAATATGGGGAGTTCCTAGAATTTCTTTATCCCCAAATCAGCACGGGTTTCAACACTCAAATCTACAGAATAACTTGGGTGATTTGGTGGTACCATGACTGTGGTGGTACCTCCATGTGTTATGGTTGAATGTTCTTTTGGGGGGTTCCTGAAATGGTGGTACCCCCAAATCATCAATTTTTCGTGGGATTTGTAAATGAAACCCACATCAAAAGAACAACTCCAACTGGACCAAACAGCTATTGCTGTGAGGACAAGGAAAAAATGGCCACAGCTGGCTCCACAATCACACAGGCCCTCGCCCAGAGGGGTCGTCTTGGACAACACATTTTTATCCATCCAGCTACTGGGTACCCCCCCACTCCAAAACCCCTGTCACACCTCCGGCAGCGCCCTCAGCAGAGGCCGCATGCCCGACAGATGGTCGATCTGCAGCTCCAGGAGGGGTTTTGCGAAGGGGGAAAAAGAAATGGTCATGTAATACTGGTATTGGTTGGTCAACTATTGCCATGAACGAGAGATTACAACTACTATTCCATATGAAAATACATAAAAATACCAGATGTGGGCCAAATGGGGAACTAATGATATCCCTTGTTGGCAACTTAGTATTACTGATACAATGTGTTTGCTGCTGATGAAAGCAAGACACAACAAGTGGTAGCTGCCGGGGTGCCTGATCCTCCAGCGCGGCCCATTTCTCCCGGCGGTTGCGGTCCCGAAACTCCGCAAAGAAGAGACGACTTCCTGCCTCGAGCGTTCGGCAAAGCAAAAAGTTCGCTCGGGAAAATCGTGACCAACGCCCCTTTTTGGGAGCTTAAAAATCATGAAATCATGGCTTAAGTATTTGGAGTACTTGTATGTACTTGTATTTTTTCCGTTAGATCAATCGGTTGAATCATGAAATGAGCAGAAAAAAAGAGTCTATTGACCCCTTGTCCATCTTCATCCCATTTAGTTCACTAAACACATACCAATCACCTTGGACGCTGAACAGGTGCCATTGAACTAGGTGCCCCCTGCCGTGGGTTTGCGTTTCATCTTGCTTCGCAAGTGTTGCAGGAACTCCTTGGCGTGACCACGACTAACATAGCCATGGAAAATCACCATTTTTTAATAGGTAAACCATCTATAAATGGGCTATCATGGATGGCCCATAGAAATAGATGGTTTATCTATTAAACATGGTGATTTTCCATGGCTATGTTAGTCATAACCAGACGGTAACCATTGTGGGGCTATCATTCGGATATCCATCACCCCAGACCCCAAGCCAGAGGCGAGGGAAGGTGGAGATCCCCTCCCAAAAACAAGGCCACCATTTGCTCCAACCCTCCTCTCAGCAAGTCACATCCTCATCTGGTCGAGTCCATTGAGTTTTCCCTGTCGAAGCATTCATGAAATACCTGACACAAAGCTGGACACAACGCGTCATCAAGAGCATCAACAAAGGAAGGTTTCACCAACAAAAATTGGATTAAATTGGAATTGAATGGAATTGATGGTATAGATAATGGGAATATGACACTTGCGTGTGTCTGAAAATGGGGCCTTTCCCGCGGCATACCTCCAATTGATGGCCATTTTAACAGTGAAAATGCGGATGAACCACTGGATTCAACCCATCTGCAGACGACAACGAAACATCAACTGGCTCTAGCATGTCCAGATAAGTCCAGCTCATGGGCACGTATATCCGGCTCCATATTCACAATCTTCCCCAGTTTGATGTGTCGACCACCTGACATCGGTCGGACATCGGTCAGTTATTGCGCACGTCGTGGAAAAATGGCGCGATAGGAGAATCCCACAAGGACAATCCCATTGCCATGGGGGTTTGACCAGCTTTGGGTGCTTTGATTCCCATGTTTCTTGACTCAATCACCACGTTTGCTACCATGTTTGTTGGTCAGATCCCAACTTTTACTTCTCAAATACTCACTTCTGTTGTTTAAGGCCTTGTTTAACTACCCCATTCTACTTCAAAACGCCCAGAAAATGAGTATACAGTACCCCAAAATGACCATTGAAACGAGAACAATGATGATCACCCGTCCAAATTGGTGGGGTATACCCCATTTTCAGACAACCCAATTTTGATGGTTGATGATCATTTATTTATCCGATCAAATTACGCTTTTAAAGGGATCCTCCATATAGGACACACCCATATGTCATTTTGTCTGTTGAATATATCTATATATTATATACATATATCATATTATATATATACACCATCATATTCCATGATATCCCATTCTCCCAGTATATTTCATGTATACATGTATGTATATATATATATAGAAAAGGTGGGAGGATGTACAGGACTCACAGCTATCTCTTTTTTCCACTTGTGCTAGGTAAACAGACGACGGTCTGGCCAGTGCCGCTGTAGGTGCTAACGTGTACATTGTTATTAAATAACAATGGGTATGCAAGAGGTCAGGTATCACAGATATCCCTAACACTCTTGAAAAGTTATAAGTGTCAAAGTAAAGACTTAGACACAAACCAAACCAAACAGAGATAAAATCTGTAGAGAGGGCTGGAAACCCAACACAGCCCTCCCCCCCATCACCCCGCAGAGGGGATCAGGGAGAGGAGGGAGGGATAACAAGAGTGGAATGAGGTCGGCTGGTTGACTTGAGCCAAAATTGGCACCAAGTCAACCAGCCATCCATCACATGCAGACAATGCAGACCCTGCCCGACCAACCTACTCCGATGTTAGAATAATACATACATATCCTCATATGGGTATGGATCAATACCTATTAATACCATTTTTAGGGGGATGAACACCATTTACCAGCTATTTTGATGTTCACCAGGGGTACAAGGTTATGACACACTGCCTCATATTCCATGATATCAAATTCTCCCTGTAAATCCCAATTCGGGAGTAGCATAGACAAGTCGCCAAGTCCAATTTCACCGCTGAGTCCCCGGACCCCTCGGGCAGCGGGCGCTTCAGGTAGTCGTCCACCTCTGTGATGAGATCGGGCTCCGCAGCCACGTCGATGCCCAGGTAGAGGCAGAACTGCGACACATACCTGGTATGAAGAAACCACAGAAAAACTGGGACTGTTTCACCAGCCAACATGGTGATTTCAACAGCAAAAACTTGGGATTAACAACCAAATAATAGGAAATGAACATCAAAAATAATCAAAAATATCTTTTCTAAGTTGAGACCCATTTTCCAGATACAAGAAATTACCCATCAAAGCAGTCATCTGGGCACTCGATGTACTGTTCTTCCTGCGGCAGTGAGACATGGAGAAGTGTCTCCCAAACGAAAGTTCTCTTTCGGCCGGGGCAGAAAAACATATTATCATGAGGTCATTTGTTGGTGGCAACACGTGCTGGTTTAAGAAACAACTTGACCGGGGTTGTTAACCACAAAATGTTGGTTTTTGCATGAACCAAAAATGTGGCTTGAAGCAACTACCAATGGGTATGTCACGAAAAAAACAAAAAGATTTCCCTATCAATCCTGGTTTAGTACTAGATCTATTCATGTTGGAGTCCAAAAAATGTTTGGCATTACCTTAACAATTTATAGGCTATACATATCCCCATTCAGAACGGTTGAACCATGATAAACCCACAGGACTGATGGTAAAATCCCAATTTTCTATGGTGAAACCAGCGTTGTTGCTGGTAGAACCTCTATTTTTGCTGGAGAACCTCCCCGTGAAAAGATGGATGGTGCCCTCCTCTTCAGCCTTGGAGCTGGTTTTCCTGACTGCATCAGAGCCCTCTCCACCTGAACAAAATAGCTGGTGCTCATGTATGTGAACGCGTCCGGAATTATGTGGATATATACATATATACATAGATACATAGATATATATATATATATACATACGTACGTACAAAAACAAATATATATATATATGCATATATGATCATATATGTATATACATACAGACCCTTAACCTGGCACAACTTGAGCACCGCGCCTTCCGCTGCTTTTTCCTCCTGGGATACACATGGTGCGTGACGCTTGCAGTATCTGCTGCCAATGGGGGAACCATGGAGGTAACTTCGGTGATCGGCCGGAATTTAACTATCCACGGGCTTCAAAGTGTTGAGCCGTAGTAGCCATAACCATAAATGATTATCATAAATGCGTTCAAAATGTCCTTCTTTTCGATTGGAATCCCCGAAAATTTTCCCCTCTTCCAGTCCTCTGAGTCGGTCTCTGCATTGATGGCAGTCACAATGTCACTGAAGCAGCGAGGCTGAAATCAATCAGAAACTCCCGGATTTGCGACTCCAAAACGGGGCATTCCTCAAAACTTGCAATTTTCATGAGGAAAACGCTGAAGGTCTTGTTTAAATCCCATGCTTCAGAGAATAGGTTTCGAAATCAATTACAGTCCCCAATTGCTTGGGCAAACCTAAATGGTATCAGCCCAGCGAGGCTAAGACACATCTTTGCCACTGTGCCATCCAGGATAACTTTCAGGTACAACCATCACAGTTATTCCCTCTCAAAAGATTGCTATTTTCTACAAAAAAGAACAAAATGTTGGGCTTCACAACGCTTCATCTTCCGCAAAATCTCACGCCTGACAACACCGATGGCAGCTGTAGCCCCTTGCCACAGGGTTTGGAAAAAGCCAGTCTCTTGGACCTGGCGCTGCGGATTCCATGGAAGCTCAGGTTGGAGGTGCAGCGGGCGTGCCTCCACATGTCCTGTAGCTGATGTCGAAGCCTCCTGCAATTGGAGGCAACCACCGTTTTTAGTGGTTGGGAAACTACATACTCGGGTTTGTCTGAGCAAGCCCCTAAAATCTGCTGGTTGATCATCATTTCCCCATTGAAATTAAAGGGTTATACGGTTATACCTCATTTTCAGGCACACCCACGGCTCAAAAATCATGCAACCTACAAGCCTGTGGAGTCGTTATGTTCGGGACAAGGGTCACTACGACCAGGGCTATCCCCCAAAATGAGACCAAACCATGAGGCAAGGGGGCTATCGGGCCTCAAGATGAAACCACCCATGCTGGTGACATTTGCTGTACATTGACCGTGAAGAAATGTGTGCACCTGAAAATTGCAAAATTCATTCATCTTACACTACTTATCTCGGTCATTCACAGTTTCTCACCAAAAATCTGGTGGAAACCCATCAGATTTACCACATCTGACAGATATCCAAGTACAAGGGGGGGTTCCAAGTTCCCATTGATTTTGCTCTCCTTCGAGGAGTCCTCCTCTGGCTCCTGGCGCAAAGTCGTGAGAGTGCTGGATTTGTGCATGGGTTTGTCCAAACATAGAGGACATCTAAATAAATGTGGATATATATATATATATATATATATGTGTATATATATATATATATGCATATATATATATGTATATATATATGCATATGCATACATATATATATATATATGTATTCAATATTTGATTGTTTGAATTTTCTCTCTCCGCATTATTTTCTCGCCTTTCCACAAAGACGTGAACCTCAATTGTAATGCAGCAATTCGTTTGAAGCAAATGATTCTCTCAAGTTTGTGCAGAGCCACAGAATAGTGGTACATCTCAGTCCACCGGATAAAGTGCAGTGGGATGTTGGTCACCCAGCCTCTGCTGATCTCACATTACAGGCATAACTGATTCCAGCCGCGCGAGCTTCACAACCGTGCGGTCTCGCAGTTGGCAATGTCCATTTCCACTAGCAACGTGCACTGACCGTCTTTTCAACATGTCACGATCTTGGCAAATCATGATCATGTGACAAACCCAAGGCCATAAACAATCCCTAACATTACCACAAATGGGTGATAAAAACCATCCCCAAATGGTAGGTTGATGATTGGGTTTATCATAGTACCCTCTGGTAATCAAGCGTAGCAATTTGCAATCCCCTATGAATGGAGGTTTATAGCTGGAAAATCCTCGAGCTAAAAGATGCTAAAAGTGTATATCCCACTTATAACCAGATAAAATTGGAATATAATAGGATTCATTATATCAGAACAATATGAATATTAAACAAAAATAAGATCCTTTGGCAACAACATACTGATATATACCCTCTGGTAATGACTAACATGGCTACTAAAAATTGCCATTTAGTTCGTTGATTTACCCATTAAGAATGGTGATTTCTCATAATTTTCCAAAGGTTTACCAGAGGGAAATTGAAATCCAATGGGATATCCATCTTGACCCCATCTTCACAGCCTCCGAGCTGTCACTCTCCAGGCCCGTCGGGGCTTTGGTCTTCCCAAGCAGCGGAGTGGCGCGTTGCCGTTTGCCTCGGCGCAGCAGATGGTCACCCAGCTGTAGATCCTAGGTAGTCAGTGTTTTATCACATGGTCGACATATGTATCTATATATATATATAACTTATATATAATGTTTATATAATTTATATAAAATGTTTATATACATGATATATAATGTTTATGTAACATATATATATACATATATACTATTATATAGATTATATGTATATACCTACAACAGGGAGATGTTCTATATATCAATGTATCAACAAGTGGGTCATGGCACATCCCAGTCAGTTCTAAGGCGCCTTTTCGTTTCCTTCGTGGAGCTTGGCCAGGGGCTTCTCCTGCCTCGCGGGGATCACCGTATGTTGTGGCTGAATCAAGTTGAATCCCCATGATTTTTGCCCAAAAACTCAGTTGAACAATGGGCGCTAAAGTCAAATCAGTCAAATAGCAGTGTGTCAAAACCTTGTACCCCTGGTGAACATCAAAATAGCTGGTCAATGGATGTTCATCCCACTAAAAATGGTATTAATAGGTACTGATCCATACCCAAATATCAACTGGCTCCAAAAACTTGCCCAAAACTACTGGAAACGGAGGCAATCCGGATAGGAAGTAACATGATGCACTATAAGGCCAACATTCCAATGAAATTACTGGCTGATGAGCCCCATTGTAAAAAAACTCAAATTGAAATAGATACATGGCCCAACATGGCCCCGCTATCATCATCAAAACGTACGAATACATTTGAAATACAAATGCAGAAACAAGCAACAAACAAATGCAGAAAACACAAATAACTAAACAAGTAAATATAATATCATAGTTGATATAATACATACACATACACATACACATACACATACATATACACATTGAAATATACATATTTAAATATATATGTGTACATATATATATATACATACATATATATATATACATATACATATACATATACATAAACATAAACATATAGATATATACATATACATATACGTATACATATACATATACATATACGTATACATATACATATACATGTACATATACATATACATACATATATATATATACGTATGTATATATATATATACATGGTCTCGTGTTCCGTGTTCCCACCCCCCTCCCGATTTGCAGCATTTGCTAGGTCTTTGCAGCATTTCTGACTACCAGCCTCGCATTTACTAGGCACATGCTACCTTTTAGACGACCTACGTAGCACACAGACTCCCTCAAAGTACCTACGTGCTACCTATAGTCATATATACATGTGCTATGTATCTACTTCCTATTTAATACATATATATGATATATATATATATATACATATATATATACATACATATATATATATACATATATATATACATAGAAACATGTATGAATATATTTATATATATGTACATATATATAATATATACATATATACATGTTTCTATGTATATATGTATATATGTATGTATATATATATATATGTATGTATTGTATATATATATATGTTTCTTTTTGTATATATACATGAACATATATATATATACATACATATGAACATATAATACATATATATATATATACATATATTATAGATACATATCTGTGTATATATATACATATATACAGTATATATACATATAGGGGCGGGGGACAGTACTATGGCTGACCCATGACCATGGCCCGATGGCCCGGGGGGGGGTTGGAACGCTGGACCATATATACATATGCGTATATCACCGTATATCAATGTATGGATATATGCATGTTCATATTATATATATATATGTATATATATATATATGTATGTACATATTTATATATGCATACATATATATATATATATATATACATATATATATATACATATATATATATATATGTATAAATGATGGTACATATCATAGATGTACCATAAATGGACGACCCCCGCACCTCGAAAGCCAACTTTGAAGTTGACCTCTTCGCCGCAGACGGCGGTCCAAAGCTCGGCGGAGGCGGGACCTTTTTCGGCTCGCCCGGGCGAAAAATGGGGAATTAGGCATCAGAAATGGAGATTGAACCATGAAATATGATGATTTTTCAGCATGAAATATAGTGATTGAACCATGAAAAAATAAGGATAAATTTGAGCATGAAGACTTGAGATTTACCTATCATGAATCATGATAGATGTCTAAATGGTCTATTTCACTAGCTGAAAGATTGGGTTTATGTAGATGAATATCTATAGTTCATAGGGTTTTAATAACTATAGAGACTATAGCAATATATCTACCATAATCCTTGGGGTACCTGGGGTGCCCCTTTGGGGACCTGGATGAATGACAACCTGGTGGTTCCTTCTGACAGAATACATATTGATTGGTGGAATAATGATTACGATAGTCCAGTATTATAACCATGGGCTAATTTTTTTGGCCATATATGATTAATTTTTGGGTGTGACAGATAGAGATGGATATGGAACGGGATCGGTAGGGGCCCATTATGCATGATTTTAATTAGGCGAATTAGTATTGAGTATCATAAGGGGGTAATCCATGATTATATATCACGCATGTTGTTTATTACTGGGTTTGATATGAGTTATAAAGGCCCTCTTTTTACGGAGAATCATTTGAGATGGATTAGCATGATGGTTGGATACTGTCCTGATGTGGCAACGCCGACATAGCTGATGGTGGTTTAACAGACATAAATGAACAAATAACAAATGAACAAATGAAATATCGGTGTAACAAATCAATAAATAAAATGAAGAAGAAGAATCAATCATTGACGTATACTATACCAAATCGGAATATGAAAATAAACAAATTGGGTATACTACCCAATCGCAAACCTCTGGCAAGTCATGGGGGGATGGTGAAGCAGCCCTTGTATACTCGTTGCTTAAGATGTAATACACCTAGAAGGATATGTGAAATTAAAAAAAGTGCATCTTGTACAGTTATCCAAAAAATGCTATGTAGACTTTCTAACATCAACATATCTAGACCCCCTGGAATGTCTACATAGCATCTACATAGCAATGTCTACGTCAACATATGGCAGTGTGTCAAAACCTTGTACCCCTGGTGAACATCAAAATAGCTGGTAAATGGATGTTCATCCCACTAAAAATGGTATTAATAGGTATTGATCCATACCCATATAAATGCTATCTAGACATTCTCGATTGCACCCTGGGAATTCTCAACTGGAGACCCTGGTCCTAGCGACCGTCGAGAGCCCCAACGCCCAGTCGTTTTGGTGGCAGCTGCGATGGCGGTGCCGGGATCCTGTAGGGATCAATGGAGATTGGCCCTCCTGTCATACAAAAAGATAGGGAAAACCAACCGTTTGTAGATGATTTTCCTAGGAAAACATAGGGAAACCATGGATTCTCCACATCTTTCTGAAAGTAAACTTGGGTTTCTAGATGTTTATTGTGGATCATATGACGATCGTTGGACGGAGTTTTCTAAACCCACCTTTTTTCACTGCGGGAAAAGGGGGCCGTCCATTCGCATGGGAACGAGGATGATCCCATCTGAACGAGGATGATCCCATCTGTGTTCACCCTGCAATGTGTTGCATGGACAAAGGGGATGGGATGGGAATGACTTACTGGTGCTAAAAGTAGGGAATTTTCGGGAATGATCCCAGTCATCACTAGTAATGTCATCATCCCAGCAACCCCCAGCCACCCATCATAACCCATCCAGCAACCCTACGTAAAACGCACCAGTAAGATGATTGGAGGACGGAAATCTTCACTTTGACTATGGAATCCCATAGGTGCCTAGCCGCCTTCGTTCCGTCCTGCTGCTAGATGCAACTTGGCTTGAATCGACTCCTGCATGTCACACAACGCAGAGAAGTTCCGACAGGTTTCGGGTTCTGAACCTATAGTATGTATGTGGGGAACGTAAACTAACAAGATCGAAAACCACGGTATAAAAGATCTATCTACCCCCATTGTAGATATATTATATAGATCATCTACCATAAACTATACTTCATGTCATGACTTGGGCTGCACCACCAATATTATCTTTCCTTTGCTAAGTCCAAGCTGCAAAATCATATATGTGTCCTTTACTTTTCACATCATCTTCCATTAGATGGAGTGGTGTCATCCCTGTAAATCCAGGATTGTATCAAACCTATAAATAATGTTATAGTTATATCCATCAAATATCATGGTTGTAGAACTAGTATAACTCCAATGATCTGCAAAACAGGGTATTTGGGTATCCATAAAAACAGACATAGACGTCGCAAGCTGCTTGTCACTGACTCCTTCATCTTCGTCTTCTGGGTGCACATCTCGCAATCTTCCCTTCGGTCGCCTGCCCAGTGGAATGTCATTGAGGAGGAGATCATGCCAGACATGCGGGGGTAAGGGGTACCACTGTAGTGGCAGAAATAAATCACCTTGATGTGTATAGCTACCCTCCAAAGAATCTGAATCAACCAGATAGATAAAGATCAACCAGGTTACCCCAGCTTTGTGTCCCAAGGGCTGCGGAACCATCGCCGATCAACAAACAAGAAGTCCACAGGTCTAACTTGTGTTCCGCAGGTCCACAGGTGTCACTGGAGGCACAAGTTTCAATTCCAATTGTGGGGCTTCCCACTGAAAGCTACCCAAATCTGTAGTTTTTTAAGAGCCCCAGATTTTTGTTGACACACTCATCCTAGGCTTAGCCGCCTTGAGCCATCCATTGGGAAGTTCAGGACCCCATGGATCGTCCATGGCCCAGGAGTACCGTATTGATACGAAGCTTTTCGGCTCGGGACGGCCTTTCTTTTGCGCAATGTGCGTACTGAATGTGTCTCGGGCGAGACATCGTGATTGCTGCACTAGGTCGCATGAACCTTGGTCTGATGATGCTGTGACTGTCGGCTGCTCATGGCACAAGGAGTGCTTATGTGTCTCCATCATGTCTGCCTGAAAGCCAAAAATAGGAAGCAGCCAACTGCAAGGAGGAAACCAACATAGCCTGTCGATTCAGGCTTTGGTGCTCTCACCGCTACAGTGAAGAGTCACCGTATGTGCCAGGTCGGATGACTTTCTCAAGGCCAAGAAACAGAATGGCTGTCATGTTGGGAGACACATGTTGACCCAACAAGTCAGGCATTATTTCGTAACTCATACCCGCTTGAAGCCGCTTCAACCCTCAAAAATCTTTGGCCAGAGGTCAGCTCTTCTCACCATGTCCTCGCACTTGGGCGCAGGCCAAAGCCAATTCTCTTTTCCCTTCGTCCCTCTGTGTGTTTGCAGCAAAAGATCCTCCCACAGAACAGGGAACAAACATATTCCTAGGAGCGATCTGATTCCAGGCTGCGTGGTGATCCAATGGTCTGCAATATACAGCCCTCGCAGGCTCAAATGCAATAGAAGAATTCTGACATATTTGCTTGATTTAGATTTGGTCCTATGACCCAAACAAATTCCAGCAATTCTGATCAAAATCACAAAATCACACATCTTTGGGTTTAGAAATTAGAATTCGAATCTTTTTCAGCCCTTGCCCCACAGCCACCCTGCTCTTTCCTGGGGGCTGAAAGTCGGGAGAGGAGCTGCATCTTCCTCTGCACATTTGCAGACTTGCCACCAGCATCTTGAAAAGGAGACGAACGCTTCCTGGTAAAAGGATGGAACGTCGGGCTTGAACCACAAAGTCATTCTATACGTCACCGGAGGACGTGACCAGCCACTCGTGGGGTGGCTCCTGCAAGTCAACCTTTTTGTTGTTGTCTTGTGGAGTACGTGCAGATGTCAGCACGCAGACGTCAGGTGACATCACGCCAAAATTCCAGGTGTCCTGAAGAATTAGGTGCAGTGGTGTTTGAAAAGGCGAGCCCTGCAGCTCGCGTTGAACGCATCAAGACGGCGACTGTACACCTACTAGCGGCACCAAGGCCGAGAAGCATTGCAAAGTTGCAGCCTTCCAAGGATAGGCTCTGTTGATTCGAACAGTCAGGGTAGGACACCAAACATCAGTACTTCGACACAACCACCTTTCAGAGGAACTTAAGCAACTTTCGGTGCTTGAAATGCGGGGACAAGCATAAGAGGAGCGCAAAGATCTGAGAGAGGAAGAGGGTTAGTGTTCACAATCTGCTTGGTGGTTGAACCATGGAGAACCAAATAAAAATATCATGAAACATCTTATATGGACATATCATATATAATAGATAGACGATATACCGCGGATTCATGAGAGATGAAATGCGGATCTTCAAACTAACAACAGAATGGAAATCACTCAAGGACACTTATTTTGAAAGTCTGTTTGAGAAAAGTTCATGGAACCATCCCCCGGGGCCCCCCATCCCCTGAATTTTCAGTACCCCCCCAAACAAAACCCCTGGTTTGGTACTGGATCTATTCGTTCTATTGAATTTTGGGATCCCACAGGCAAGATTCAGTTGGGGCCACCACATAACCTGATCGCTGATAGCTTACCTCATAAACTACAAGGCCTTGAACAGTGATGCTCTTTGAATCTCTGTATCACTCAGGAAGGTCAAAAATTAAAGACCCAAAAAACACATGAACCGGCCATGTTTAGTATGAAAATGTATGAAAATGTATGAAAGCATTGGAGTTTTTGGATGTTTTTGGATGTTTTTGGATGTTTTTGGATGTTTTTGGTACCTCAGTGAATTGCCCATCCCCACAGTGGCCCCTAGCAGTTCTAAATGGGGCTTGTACCCCGAGAGTTGTCTACCAGTTGAATGAGATTGGAATATATTCCTAGTATTCCCAGTATTCCCAGTTGGGTTTATCTGAAAATTGGCTATTCATCATTTTCCCTGTCAAAATGCCTTCATGGGGATATCCCCGTTGACCCAGTAAGTGGCTGAGTTTTTGTTGCCCCATCTTGATCTATGCTCCCTTATGCGGCTGATCGATATCGACCGCCCTCGGGGCTCTCCGCCGGTGCGTCACCGCGGTCATTGGAGTAACGACCACGTGGGTGTCGTTCTCCGCGACGGTACCACACGCCGGGACGGACCCATCGCAGCGAGACTTCGTGATCCAAGAGGTGTCTCATTAGTCTTTCCCAAATTGAGTTTAACAATAGTTTAACAATAGTTTAACCCCTCAGGCTCCGGTGAAAACGGATTTTTTGGCCCATTTTCTTTGAAAGGTTGATGAATCCAGGCTTGACGCAGGATATGCAACAACAACTGGTGGAAAAAAAGATCGAAGCTTCACTTGGATCACGTGACGACCAGTCATCACCATGAGTTCCCCCATTGAATCCACTTTTGTACGGGTTCCCAAGACTGCACGCGCCATTTCTCAAGAACTGGGTGAGCTGGGTGGCAACAGAATTTCGGAATGCTTTCCAGTGCAGCCTCTACCCCTCGTGGCCAACGGGGTCGACACGCATCAGACTTCCAGCAAATGTTCTGCAATCTGCTGGAATCTGCTGCGATGTCCCTTGAAACACCAGGCAAGTCTTCAGACAGTTATGAAAGACTTAAGAAATTGCAGCAATTCGATGAATTCACTTAACACTCGCGTTCTCGTCCAATCTCCGCCATTTTACCCTCCTGCCAACTCAAATCACCTGGCGGATCGCCGGCTCGGGCTGGAAACCCCTATGGAATGGAAAGCCATGGTTTTGCCAACTTCACCAAGAAGATCAACTGTGTATCCAAGCCTTCCTTCAGTATACGCACATGGGGATGTCCAAAATATCAACGGCATCCTGCGTGCGAAAAGCTCAGGCAGAAAGGCCATGTTTATCAGCCCCGGTGAAAAGGATTGACGCTTAGTTGCTTGGAAAAAAAGTAACTGGATGTAACTGTTTTTATTGGGGTTTATTATATGATCGACATTGATCAACTTATCAGGATCAGAATATTGATAATGTAAATATTATTTGATACAGGGATAGTGGTTAATCAACTTATCTTATCAGGATCACTATCAACCTATTTACTATTTGTTAATGCGAATCAGGGTTGAATCAGGGTTGATTGTCTTCTCCCATCACCTGTATCTCTTCCTTTCCCAGGGATTCGAGAGAATGCCGCAACGTCCCTTCGCGCCGGTCCGAAGCCCTGCGCCGGTCCGAACGTGGAGACATATCGAAGGAGAGGTCTTTCTGCATGTATTGATCCACCTGGGAGCATCACCCTGGCCCAGAAATCACGATACCGTTGTCCTTCAAGGGGTGATGGGACACAAATCCCCATGAATCATGGGACACATGGAATCGACATGGACCATGAAACCACATGAAACCCAAGCCCATCACCCACCTGTGGAAGATAGTTGAACAGGGGAGCAACGGCGGAGTTCTCGGCCACCTCTCTTCCCCACAGCACACTTGTGGAGTAAGTTCGCAAGACCTCACAGGTCTTAGCCACCGAGCGCTTCGGCAAATGACAGGTGAGTGGTGGAAAAGGGTGCTGTGAATTCAATATACCCAATGTTGGTGAACTGTACCTGTTCTATCCATGATGCCAGCTCTCCCATTCTGGATCTTCTCTTTGCTGCTACATAGAAATGGTTGCTGGTCATATGAAGATAAAACCCTGCTACCCTGGCTTGCACACCAAAATAGCTCGTAAATGGATCGTTCATCCCCCCGAACATGGCAGCATATAGGCATTGATCCCAAGGGCACCTGCGCACCCCAAGTCTTTGAGGCCACTCGCTTCAGGAGAGCGTCCTTGACATGGCGCGGCTGAAAAAATATGCTCCCAAAATGATGGATTTAATGCGATTTAAGCAGCAAACATGGTGGTTTCACAGATCACCTATGAGATGAAAGGGGGGTTCCCTAAATTTTCAGACAAAGCCAAACGCGGGATTGAAGTTTGAATCAACATTGGTGATGGAAAAGCCAGAATTGGGGATGGAAACCATATAATGAAATATAAATGCTAGTTTAATGGGGATGTAATGGGGATACAATATAACCAACAATTGATGAATAGACTGGTTAGATTTGGGGGTATATACCCCACTTCCAGAGAAACACAAATGATGGCTGTACAGCGACAATGGGTGTGGGTCTGGCCATTGAGGTACCAACGGGCCCACTTTGGCTGGTCCAAAAACTTTGACCAATACCCAAATGGTGGATGACCACCCACAACTTGGATTTGACAATCACTAGGAGAGGAGTTTTAGGTCCCGATTCGAATAATCCTGTACTAACGATGATTGGGGCGAAAATCACAATCTCTGTAACCAACTCCGGTGACGATCTGAGCTAAGAAGAAACCTTGCAACTGGAGTTGCAGCCCCCATCGTTCGACACACCCACTGCTTGTTGAACAAGTCCCCTTCATCATATCCATGTTTGTTGATAGAATCGCCCTGTTTATTGCTTGAATTCCCATGATTTCTGGTTCAATTCACATTCTTGAAATCATAATTTGGGTTGGAAATATGATTGAATTGTCAAATCCCTATATACTTTTGTTTGCTTAAATCCTTATTCTGGCGGGTTAAACCCTCCTATCTGTTGGTCAACTCTTCTGGAATACCCCACTGAGCTTGCCACGATCACACGCTGACCAATCTTGGCCAGGCGGCCCAGACGTCCCCCTAGGCGTTTGAGGGTCTGAGTCTTCAAAAGGAACATAGGCAACCATTGATGAATTATACAACCAGGTTAACCATGGTTTTTATGGCAGATACAAGCACAGTGAATGGGGGGTTGTAAGCCAACTTGTAACTGGCCTTGCGGTTTATCATGTGGGATATTGTAGCCCCACATCAAGCATCATGATGGATAAAGCAATGAAGATATACTGGAACAACGGGATTGGTCGTAAAAATTAGGAAACCATCAATGGAAGAAAATTTCGAAAATATCAATCAGCAACTATTGGGATTCGAAATTGGAATGCTATGTTTTGCAAAACCAGGCCGCTAGGCCGCTAGGCATGTCAATGGGAAAAGGGGGATAGTGGCTAAAAAACACCAGGATTGGACTTGGGACTGTTACGAAGTGGAACGCGGATCTATGTTGTAGATATACACGTATATATCGCCACTTCAATGGAGAATATCAGGCATCTTTAGCCATCATCAGTAGGGAAAAATTGTAATATATAGATCAACAATAGTCAATAGTCGGAATTAAAACATGTAAGATCACGTATATAAGTGTTATGAAGTTATGATTAATAGAAAAGGAAAGGCTCTTTTGAGAAGGAAGTGTCGACCATGTTCACCAATCGAAAAATGACTTGTCAAAACTCATGAAAAAATGTGTTCAATGCTGCAGCATCCTACCAGTCTGTGGCTCCCAGCAGTCCATCTCCTCGCTAGTACTGATCTCCGTCACTTCAGTGATTTCGGTGCGCTCGGTCTTGGTGGCCAAAGATGACTCGGACTTGTAGTTGCTGGCAGTCTGCAGGGAAGCGCCTGCGCCGCAAAAATCAGCAGCAACAAAAAAACACGGCATCAGTCGCGGCGGGTTGTTTCTGACACACGAGCCATCTTGGGAAGAGGTCATGGACCTTTGAACTGCTTTTTGAAGGGATGGCTGGCTGGTTTGGCATTCAAGGTTAAGTATGGTCATCTTCCAGCACCTGAAGGCAGTCGAGGACCCTCCAACTGACTCTGCTTCAGGTTCACGTAGAGCCTGCTGCGCAGTGAAAATTCACCTGGATCCATACACCTAGAAGCATGGTATTATGGGTAACGGTCATCCTACCCTTATTAGGGTTCCGCATAATGGATATATGAAGCCCTATAGTGTACGGATACGGATGACCGTACCCAATAGAAAATCCTGCTCCACTTCGAGTAACTTTGCAAAGCCACATCATGGATCATTTTATGGGTCATACTCTTGCAAAGTGGGAAACTTTGGAGCGGATCGCCACTCTGATTCGCCAAGGATCGCCAAGGAACTTCGCCAAGGGCACCCCAGAAAAAACCGATCCAAGTGGCTGATGATAAAAACCCAACGAATGGATAGTGATTTCTTCATAAACCTCAACTAATCCAACCATCCATGGATAGTGATGATATATAATATCATGAAAACTAATCCAACTAATCATAATCCAACTATAACTAATATCATAAGCTAATCATAAGCTAATCGTAAACGAATCATAAACCCCAACTCATCCAATATTAATCCAACTACTTGAATAATCAACTATAACTCACTATAACTAATCATAAATGGTGATATTCCCAAAAAAACACAAACCCCAATCGTGTCTCGCCTCGACAGCCCGCGATCGCGGCAGCTTGAGCTGCAGTAGGTGAGATCATCGCGCATGTAGACCTGCGATTTTCGGCACTTTCGGCGAAAAAAACTGTTTTTCTGTGAGAACCTGTGGATATCTAATTTAAAGATATTGAATATTGAATTACAAGAGGTCATCAAACTGATCCGAGAAGGTTTTCTGCGGTCAAAATATTTGAACGAATGGTATTTAATTAACCTAAAAACAAACAGGTGTAATTAATTATGCCTTATTTGTAACTAGTTATAATTAACTACGACAACTAATAAAAAGAAGAAAAAACAAACTGATAAAACATGATAAAACTATGGCTAATGACTAATAGAAAAAAACAAAGTGACATTATTAACTGAGGTTAATATATTGCGAAACAATGATTACTGTAGTTAACTATGACTCTGTTTTAACCAAAAATAATGAAGTGATACGTTTGGATGACTATGGCTGTCTATTGGAATTAAAATCATCATAGCTTTATAAGCGTACCTTATGATGATGAGCCAACTCAGACGTGTCTTCAAGGTCCAACTTGATCAGCTCCAACCAACCCAAGATCGGCCGGGCCATGAAGAAATCTGCTAGGTTCCACATGGCTCCAAATATCCTGTTCAATCACCATGTCTAATGGTCAAATCTGACCATAGCACATATGCTTCTCCAGCCACTACAACTGGTCAGTACTGGTCCCAGCACCGCACCGGAGCGGATTCAGGGATCATCCGGATGCAGCAACTGCAACGAAAGACATAGTCTGGCCTGAGGAACTCGTTGTATTTTCGACTACCCAAAACAAGGTCTAGTTTTGCAAAACCCGACTAAAACAGGAATCAATGGAATCAATCATAAAAAACCTGACTTTCAAGCTGGTAGAGCTGACCTCCGCACTTCTGAGACAGGCACGAGCCATTGGTAGTTGCAGAATGAGCATTGCATCCTGTGCTACGCCCGCACCCGGCTGAATCACTGTGATTACCATTGGCTGAAAGCTTGTGGTTTATGCCAGAATATGGATAGTGATGGGCAGTTGCCTACTTATGCCTTTATCTTACATATCATATAATACATGTATACACATAATTACATGTATATGTGTATATATATACATATATATACATATATATATATACATATATATATATATACATATATATATATACATATATACACATATGTATATATATATATGATGTATGCATTTAAAAAACTTCCATGTTGTGGTTTCAAATGACAAATTGATCCAAGAAACAAGGTTTCACAGGTACATCATTTTAAGATGCATTTCAAACGCCTCCATGTGAAAGCCTCCTCTGGAATCGGCTGTTTACAGCTGCCCCCATTTTTGCGCAGCTCGAAGTTGTCAACATGGCCGGTCTTAGATTCCCTTCCCTGAAAAAGAAAGACTCTTTCGCTGGTTTGCGGGTATATATATAATATGTGCAACGTGGTAAGCCCAATAATACATCATCCCGCCCAAATCACTTTAAATGGGTGGTAGCCAAAAACACCCATTTTGGTAGTTGTTTATGGCATTGGGTTTACATGGGTTTACCACGTACATATCCTCATAGCCAAGGATTAGAGTACCAAATTCATCCAACACTCAGATGTTCAGCAGCTGGGAACCCACACCGGTCATGACCTCGGAAGAAAATTTTGGGGGTTTCGGTGGTGAAAACTGTTTGCAAACAATTGAATGTAGATGGATGTTAATGGGATTTATAAACCAACAAACATAACTGGGAGAATTGTAGTAATCCATGTGAAATGCTGTTGATGCTCCTTGAAACTGTTTGCAGCACTTCGTTGAGATGCAGACTTTGCTCGACTAAGGGGCGGATGCACTCAACTGCCCTATCTGTACAAACGAAATGTGGATGCAAATATGCAAAATGTATGACACTGTGATGCGAAGTAGTTGGAACGAAATTGGTAGTGGCAGAGGGCACTTTCTTTCTAGGAAAACGGATCTTGAGCCAAAAGGATGGCCAAAAGCAGGACCGACAAATGCTTCCAAGATCTTCCAAGATCTTCCAAGCATTTAACGTGATGCATGTGGTTCATCAACATCTCAAAATCTCGAGATCCCAAGATCCAAACTCCACCCGACTCTACAGCCGTGGTTTTTTCATCGCTCTCCATGTCGAAGCAGCTTTATCAACTCATCAGGTCCGGCTCATCGATGTGGAAAACCTGCCAACGGGAAACCCCGAATTTGACATGCCAAAAACCTTGAGAAAAAAGATGAAATAAGTTTCGGTGGTATCCCCAATAGCTGCAACGTGGTATTTTTTTCACATGCTGCGAAGCCAAACGCTGGAAAAACTTCAGCGTGCTCCAAAGCCTCCCAGAACCTTCTCTGGAACCTTCTCCAGAACCCTGTTGAACTTGACCTGGCTCTGCACCAAAGCCTCCCAGACCTTCTCCGGAACCAAAGCCTCCCAGACCTTCACCGGACCCTTCTCCGGAATCCTGTTGAACCTGACCTCGCTCTGCACCAAAGCCTCCCAGACCTTCGCCGGAACCTTCTCCGGAACCTTCTCTGGAACCCTGTCGAACCTGACCTGGCTCTGTACCAAAGCCTCCCAGACCTTCTCCGGAACCTTCGGAACCTTCTCTGGAACCTTGTTGAACCTGACCCAGCGCCTGCACCAGTGCACACCGGAGCTATTCTGGGCTGAAGACCCCATTAGCTTACGCTGTTGGGGAAAAATATGTAAAAATGTAAAAACATCCACTTCCGAAATATCAACTCCAAAATCCTGCAATTGCTCTGTAAAAACAAAAAGTTGGGTGGAGTGATGTTCCAGCCTCGAGAACGCGTCGAAACTGGTCGTGGACCGACATGCCAGCTGCTTGAGTTCGATCTCCCTTGGCAATGTGAGAAATACCAACAAGAACTGGCGAGGGATGGTAGCATTATTGTCTTTGTGGGAAAAATAGAAGGGCCAGTTTGGTATACTATTTAGTCAGATTTACCTATTCATTGTGGAATGGGGTGACCCCTCTGTGAATCAACCCATGGACATTCAGGACATTCATGCACAGAATCGAAGCTGAGGTGTGTGGTTTATGATCATCCATACCACAATAGGAATCCCAACATAATGCATATATACAGTAACTCATTATAAATCCCTGTTGATGGATTGATGTCCATCCGCCACTGAGTATGCAATCCAACTAACTTGACCATGGCACATATGTAGATGATGATGATGTAGAAATATGCCACTGGATGCCACTGGGAGATCACCAAATGTGGCATAGAACCACGTACTCAAAGAAGTCTCAAAGATAAGTCCGTGGGTCAATCGGTCGTCAGCTGATTTTGGTCCGCAACAGATGACTCTCTTTGTTTCTGAACGAAGTAAATGCACAATTTTGGCTGCGAATTTCAACCTTTCGTAGATGGGTGAAAATGTGGCATTCCCTCCCATTTTATGGCCATTCCATGGGGAATATATGGGAACAAGGATAAGATAAGGCGGTGAATCTGGCTTTTGCTGGCCAAATATGGCCAAATCAGGTCAGAATGCGCCTGGTGCCGCCCAGCAATCAAGGAGCCTGGCTCCCAAGCCACTCAGAGGGATAGAACAGTTGAGTTGAGCAAGGGATCATGGGAGCAAAACAAACAAGAAGTGAATAGCCAACGGATTCATGGAGGAATACTATGGAAATCTATGGAATACGACGTCTTCAACCAATGACTGGCTTTTTTTGGGGGGAACCGATTGGTCCCACAAGTCCTGCGCCGAGATCGCCGAGTCGCTCATTTCATCCTGAATCGCCTGCAGGTGGCACATGTCGCCGACGTCCAGAAACGATGATGATGAATTATATGAATTATATGAATTATCAAGATCCATATGGAAAAGGATATATAGCCCCATTAATAGATCTATTATATGAATTATCTATTATACATAGCCGCTATAGCCCTTTTCCGATCTCCGCTTTCCATACTTCTGTTGTTTCCATTGTCAACTTGCGTCAATATCATTTTTAGTCGCGCTTCCCATTGGCGCTGCTGGCAAAGGGCATTCGAGTGAGAGCCTTCAGAAAAGCATCACCAAGCAAAGCATACGGCATGACTGCACAGTAGACCGCGGTGGACACGATCAGAGCCATCAGCCACGCCCCCAGAGTGTAGCCCATGACGTGAACGTGATGGAACTCAATTGGCATCAGCAGGAGCCGCCCACGCATATAGTGAATCGCGAAGATGTTGGACAAGTTGATGCCCAAAGACAGTCTCGAGGCCAATAAAACCCACCAACTTGGCGCTGCAGCAGTTGTTTTCTGCATTCCATTCAGCAGCAGGGCCACACCAACAGCATGGAGGCAGTTGCTGACGAGGAAGGTGGCTGCTTTAGAGGCCGAGAACTTCATGTCAGCAACTGCCACAGGTTGTATCCCACTCATCAAATCTGTGGGAGGGAGCGAAAGCCAGGCCACGAAGAGGGACATCGCTACCAGCATTCCGGCCACGTTTCGGGAGGCACTAAATTTGCTTGGCACCAACGCGCAGAGCAGTGCCCCGGGGAGCATATGCGCTGTGGTCCCTTGCACAAAGCGGTGACCCGGTCGAAAGCCCTCGTGGAGGATCTCTGGTTGCCACCAAAGGCCCAACGCCGTTAGCGTGACAAATGCAACTATGGATGCAATGTCACCGAAACGACCGAAGAGGTGCTTCACAAGCCCAAGACCTGCAGCCAACACGCTCACTGCGAAGAGATTCTCAAAAATCTGCATGTTGTGACAAATAGTGACCACCGGTGAGTAGAGTTTCAAAGCAGCGTTGGCAGGCGCATAAATAAACAACAGACTCAAAAGCCACATCGGAGGCACCATATGCTCAAAGGGCTTCAAGGGACTGCCGGGGCGTACAGGCGCAGCTGAGCATGTCGCTCTGCGATCCTGGTACCAGATTCGGGCAAACTCTGGAAACGGCTTCCAAGGGATGTCCCGAGACAGCCGCAGAAAGAACCACATCCAGAAGCCCAGCTCGCACGCTTGCCTGAGCCAGCGCCGTAGCAACCATGTGGTGGATACAGCACTGGTCCTCCAGAAGCCTCGCTGACCATGAAGGGCCCGTTGCATGGAACGCAGGCTGAGATACGCAGTGAGACATGCGAAGGTGTAGTTCACTCGACCCAGAACCTTCGCAACTTGGCTAGTCAGAGGTTGAAAGCTTTCGATCCCGCCGAAGCCACTGTTGCCCAACCAATCTACTAATAGAATGACATGTTGCCAACACACGATGATTTGCAGCAGTAGCCGCAGCAGATGGAGATCTGGCAAGTCCTCCGCTGAAGTCGAGCTGGAGCAAAGGTCTGCCAGGTGACGTTGTGGAGCAAAAAGCCGCAGCCAACCTGAAGATCGACCACAAAGCTCCAAGACTTTTGTGAGGAAGCCAGCCAGGAGTGGCGGCACCGCTAGGAAAGCCAGGATCAAAGTGTTCTGCTCATTGGGGCGCCAGCGTGGCTGGTACTCCCAAAGTTGTTGTCTGTAGGGCCATTGTTCTCTGTACCATGCTGCTGCACCTCCTGGATAGAGCGCCACTACTTTGAACATGAAATGCGAGGCGCGGTCGTCCTTGTCCACTTCGTCCGTGTCTTTGTGCCAGCGCCCCAGAATCTCCAGATTTTTCGGGCCCCAATTCTTGCCCATGTATCTTCCCAGTAAGTATGGCACGAAAACCGTGTCCACCACAGGGTATGAACAGGACGAAGGAACGCAAATCCCAAACTCCAAGGCCACATCTTTCACGCCAAGACGGATCGCTAGAAGGCCCCAATAAAAACGGTGCCCGCCCTCGGTGCACACCTCAGGATTCCCAACATGGGCAATATCATGGCCCAGAAGGGACGAGTGCCGCCTGAAAAAATGAAAGTTGGCAGGTTTGTCATAGTTCGCCATACATTCCGACATCGTCTGTTGCCATTTCCGTGGGCCTTTTTGTATCAAGTCACTTGTATTCTGACCTTCCTTGGAGTTGCGATCCAGGCAATCAAAAAAAACAAATACCATCTGGTTATTTAACATAGCCATGGAACATCATGGAAAATCACCATTTTTAATAGGTAAACCATCTATAAATGGGCCATTTTCCATGGCTATGTTAAATAACCAGAGGGTAAAATACCCATCAATATATACCAATGTGTTCAATTCTAAAGATGTGTTCCCTGTTTTCCACTCAAATGCTGCATTAAAAAACCCATGTTTTTGATGTTCCCCTTTTTGGTTGGATCTTTCATGCGGAGGTTTCCAATCCATGGGGGTACCCCATTGATCATCCATTTTTGGCAAGGATTTTCCACTACGAAGCAGCTGGGGATCACCTATGACTTGGTCAACCCAGCGTCCATCTCTCGCCGCCGCAGCTCGGGTTCGCAGCACATCTCCCAGTTGAAGTCTTCGTCCCAACAGCTCGGCAGGCCGATGCCCCAGGCCCCGCTGCAGCAGAGCTCGAAGGTGAAACTGCCGATCCAACAGCTGACTGCCATTTCTGCCAACGTTTTTTCGTGTCAACATCTATGGAGAAGCATGAAACATGACCATTTATCAATATCATCCATCATTATCATAAACCATGGCCAATTAAATAAGCGTCTTCTTTAATCCTTTCCTTGGTTGTCCATCTGTGTGTGTGGGTATGGGTCAAAATCGGGTCTCCCAATCATTGGATGGTTCTTACTAACAGACAAAAATCTGTGGTCCCCGAGGTCATGAATTTTGACCCATAACCCATATATATATATTTATATACATCATATACACATGTACATTTGTATATACTGATCTAGGATTTGCATACGTTGATGTAAAACAATGTATGTGCTCGTGATATGCCGCACTTATCTCACATATACAGAACACATTTAACTTAACCATGGTGTGAACGTGTGGTTTCAATTAGCCGCCAGACAAAAAAACAACGTCAACGTCGTCTTAGATCACTATCGGAAGTCTCTGTGTGATGTTTCGAGCCAAACTCTGTCATGACTTCGGAGCATGTTGGCCCACACGGATGCTGAGGACTCAGGACTTGGAATGCATCACCACTTGCTCTATCTGATCCACCTACATGCAGTCGAAATCCGAAATGAATAATCTAGAAAAAAGGCAGTTCTACAGCCAAAGCTGCCAATTCCACTTTTTCTGCAGCCCGGATGTCAAATTCCAATTGTGCTTTGTAGCAAGTCGTGATTGCAGCACCACAAACCAACTCATTCGGAAGAAAGGATCGCCAACTCAACTCGGTCCTTGACTAGAGACTTCAAGCAAAATAACATACGTATAGTAGTAGTGTGCTGATGTAGACCCAAGGTGAGTGGTTGATACGGGGCCCTTTAACAAACACCCAAAGCATGCACTTTTCACATCTCTCTCTCTCTCTATTCCAACAGTGACTAGGACTGCCCATCTGCAAATTGTCTACATTTCCAAGACATACGGCTTATGGCTAGTCTGCTGACCATTGAACGGCACCACGAGAACATATCCCAAAAAAAACTCAAATGATTGCATGCTCAAGAAGCAGCATGAAGATGGATCTCTGCCAGGCATGGTCTGCGAAAGTCAAAGATTCCATGATGGCACCCATGGTCACAACATCAGGAAGGATTGCACCACATCTGAGGCACTCCACCAGCTCTGCTGCATGGAGCCACTTCGAGGCTTTCGCAGATGCAGTCATCACAGTTGAACTCATCACAGCTGAAGTAACACGTCCTGCGACTTAAAACCAGTTGAATGTTGGAAGCCACACTCATTCTGCTTCAAGTACAAAGTTCGATCGAACCTGATCATATTCCATGTGAAACCCCCCTGGGATTTGAATCTTTAGTTTCTTTTTGTAAAATCTAATTCTGTGTCAAAAACAGCAACGGACTCGTGTTTCCCATCACACCCGTGGTCCTCCAGCGCCGAAATCGTCGAAACTGCTCAAGGCCTGCGGCCACCCCCTGACCTTTTCACACGCCGTAAGCAGGGAGCATCTGCTGATCATCGAAGGCCGCAGGCTTCGTGGCATCAAAGACCCAAACAGCTCGGCAGCTTTCAGCCACCGACCCGCTGCACCGCAACAGGTAATGCAACTGTTGTAAGTGATCACTGTAGGTTGGAGAAACCGATGCTTCACCTGGCTGGTGCTTTCAAACTCCTGAACAATGTTAGTTGCTGGCATCATCATCATCATCATCATCATCATCATCACCATCATCAAGAAGGAGAAACAATTCCGAATGTTTCGAAGCCAGTTGCCATCTCCTCCACGTACTTCAAGGACTCCTCCCAGCCAGACGTTAGGACGCAGGCGGCACCTGCAGCATTGTAGCTGACGCTGTCAGGTCTCCAACGGCTGTGGCCCATGCAGCGCAGCAGGTAGGCGGCCGCGGTCCATTCCCCCGTCCTTTCGCCCGCCGCAATGGCGCCGTTCCAACAGATGGCATCCACGGGACCACTGAGGAGTCGCAGAGCGGTGGCCCAGCCGCAACCGCACGACATGACGGAGCCAAGGGTGATGGGATTGGGACGCAGGAGTCGGTGCCTCAGCTCTTCCAACAGAAAGGAGGCACTGGTCCAATGACCTCCCTTGGCACAAGCATTGATGGCAGCGTTGAAGCCTGAGCTGGGCAACGCTCTTAGATTAGATGTTGAGCATGGCCCCATGGCGACAATACTCGGAAGCTCAAGCATGGAAACTAGGGCCCACACAAGCTAAATTCGGAAGACAAAGAGCCCTGGGTATCCTCTGGAAGAATTCGAGTGCCAGCTCCCATTTGCTTGCTTTCTCATGTGCAGATATGACAGCACTGCATTCAAAAGCGCTGACCTTCAACCTGCACAGACAGTCGAATGTGGCCTTAATGCCTACGGAGTCAAGAGCCTTCCTAAAGCATGTATCTCCACCACAGATTCAAATCACACTACTTACATACCGTTTCAAACTTCATTCTGGAAAACAAATGGAACCCACACTCTACGTTCGTTTTTCAGACGTGTTCCAAAATTGCTTGACTCATTCTCACCAGATTTTAGTTTGCTCATTTCATCCATTTTTACTTCGCACTGCTCCAACCTCCACTTCCACATGCACCAGAAGATCTCCTCCGCTAAAATGGCTTCCTTCCGCTTGGCCAGCAGGTCCAGCAGGTGTGTGGCATGCCGAGGCTTGCTACGCCAGGTCTTACAAAAAGGTCCCAAAGCCACCTAGGTCTGAAAGAAATGGTGGATTTACCCACAATTTGAATAATGGATTCAACCAACCCCCTCCAAATAAGGGCTTACTAAGGCTTACTAAGGGTCTATGAACCACCAACAACCACTAACAAAGGGCTTATCAACTGTCCACTATTGGGGGATTTGTGGCAATGCTGTGCAATGTTTATGGGAAATGATGAGAGATCGTTGGATCTGAGCAAAACATGCCATTTTAATTTGATACGGATCCTCCCAAGTAATGACCCCCGTGATAAAGATCTTACACGGAAGGTCTAATCTTGATTTCGAAAAGATGATGAACTTTGTGGTTCCAAGTTTTTAGGCTTAATTTTGAATTCAATTGTATTCAATAATGAAATGCTTCAACGCTGAAGCATAAGCTTTGGGGTTCTCAAATTCTGAGACAACGGAGACACTCCCACCTCAACCCCTCTCGCATCCCACGGGCCGCTGAGTAATGGCTCCAAGCGCTCTAGTTCGGCAATCTGCCGCATGGCGCCAGCAACCCGCCGCCAACGGTGCTTGGTCAAAAGTGTGTTTGTCTGAAATAGGATGCCCCAGGGTATCCCTTGCAGACAACCCCAAGTGGACATGGCACGGTTTGGAGATGTCTGATGTGAAAACGAGGAATCTGACCACAAATTGCTGGATAGATTTGGCTACGGCCCAGCTGCTCCCCAGCAGCATGGGACCCTTGAACCCAGAAGCCCTTTCCAGCTCACAACCAGGCTATACACTCTCAGAAACTGTCAAGATATGGCTGCTGATTTCGGATTCAGTCCTGGACATCATTCTTGTTATCAACTGTCTATATTATATTATATATATATTATATTATATATATATATTGCACAAAATGTCGACATATAATATGTATATCATGTTATACATATATACATGTCTCATATACGTATAGCCAAGATAGATATGATCCATCTAGATCTACGTAACGTACGTATCCAATGGCCTGTGAGATCAGCCACTAGCTTGAAGATCATCTCCCGATTGGCCTGCGGCCGAAAATCTTCACCAAAATTTGCTGAGGTTTTTGCCGTCGAAAGATAGGGATTCAACTGATTCAATGGTTTTTGCCATGAAAAAAATTGGTTTTGTGAACTCTCAAGATGCACATGTCACCAGGCAACCATGCAATGAATTGCCAGCCAAAATGGCAAAATGCCAGAAAATCCTTGATTTTTAACCCACAAAATCTGCATCCATTCGAGGAAGAATAAGGATCTGCGTAACGTGTGTAACGTTCATCCAATGGTTAACAGCATATGTATGGGCCATGGTGCTAACGGACAGCATGGAGGTCCTACATCCACCATGATGCTATGGGTGGGGTGTGAAACATAGTACAGGGAAGGGTTGGTTGTATGTATAGGATACATAAACATATGACATAGACATATACATATACATACACATACGCATATACATATACATATACATATACATATACATATACATAGACATATATATATACACATACATACATACATACATATATATATATGTATATACATGTGTATACATACACATACACATACACATACACATACACATACACATACACATACACATACACATACACATACACATACACATACATATGCATATGCATATGCATATGCATATGCATATGCATATGCATATGCATATACATACGTGTATATATATATATATGTCTTTTTTTCTTATACATATATATATGGGGGTTGCCTTTAAAATACAGGTACCCCCAGTTTTCATCCACTTTACTTTCGGAGTTTCCATTTAAAAAAAAAGGAAAAACATCGAACAATTGGGCTACCCCCAGCCATCAGGAAACCACCATATCAGTATTGACCACTACTACTATTAATCACCATTATATCCCATTAAATCACATTATTCATCACTGTTATTCACGATTTATTCCTACATCACGACCATGCACCATTATTCACCATTTCCGATTATTCATCACCACATCCACATATTATGACTATATTATGACTATAGTGACTATAGAATCATGGCAGTTTCATCCCCGAAACCTCCGGGGCCTGGGAGTCCTCTTGCCACCGATGCTCTGGCACCTAAAAAAAACACAGCGGACGGTCAGGCCAAGCTAGGCCTGGGAAAACATCGGTTGAACCAAAAGATCTGGGCTTTTACCTTCAAAAACATGGTTTCAACGTGCTTTAACAAACAGAGGGCCAAATTTGGACCCATTAATTATTAACATAAAATTCAAAGGTTAAAGCTAAGTTTTGACTGATGGAGCACACATCATCTCGAGAATTTGGGCCCAAACTTGAACCGAGTACTTGTGAACATAAAGTGTGCGAAGGTAAAGCGATGTTTTTAGTAGTGGAGCACACATCATTTTGAGAATATGGGGCCAAATTTGGACCCAGTACCTATCAACATAAAATTTAAAAACTTAAAACTAAGTTTTGACTGATGGAGCACATATCATCTTGAGAACATGGGGCCAAAGTACACGTTATATGGCAGAAGCTTGGTTAAAAGCTATGGCGTGGCACCTAAAGCTAGACCATTGATCGCATAGCGGTCCCAAAATGGAAGCGCATAGTGCTCCCAAAATCTAAAAAAGGAAGCGCATTACGATAATAGTAGACCTGATCCGTCATCTGGAAGAAGCCTTGAGAAGCTAAAAGTTATCTAGCAGAAGCTTTGGGAAGCCTACAATTTATGCGGCAGAAGCTTTGGGATGGATAAAAGCGATGGCGTGGTACCTGATGCTAGATCATTGAGCCACGATCAAGCGTGGTGTGATTTGTTGCATGCATATATATATACATAAATCGAATATAAACAAATACAGTAAACACATAGACACATGAATGAAAAAATATATCTATTTATATATGTCATAATATTGTATATGTATATGTATATATATATATATGTATATACGCGAAGCATCTGCCATGAAACAATTCACAAGACAAACATCGGGAGAAGCCACGGTAAAGCTACGAACAAACATAGCATCCCAACCCAAAAATTGCCAGTAGCAGGGGACGACGGGTAAAACAGGGAAAAAAAAAACGATAGACATACTTACAAAACCACGAACCGCCCATTTGACCTTTCAAGTCTGAATTTCCGAACCCCGATTGGCACACCACACTTCTTTCGACCAAACTGATCTGTCAGCCCCCGTTTCGGTGAGAAGATTTTGGGCCAATGACCGCCCCAAAAATCCAACTGACCCAACTGGAAATACCACACCGTTGTACCACCGATTCAGAGACAAGACCCCGTGAACCAAGATGAACACAATCCGTTGAGGATAACCCGTCTAACTAAGTTGGGTACATTAGTGGCTTACAAAAAAGGGGATTCAACAACGTGGTTTACGTCTTGTGAAATAGAATTGGTACAGCCAATATACTATTCAAGACCCAGGTTGTTTGGCCACCGCTTCATGACTAGATCTAATACCAAACCAGCGTTTCTAAGGGTATTGGATACTACACGGGGAAGGTATGAACAACTCCTGGGATTGATTGCATTTCTGATCATTGGGCCATGGTGACATCGGTATTTCCGAAACATCTGAAGGGTGGAGTCGCCCCCCGTTTTCATGTTTGACCCATGGTTTTCGTCCAAGAAATGGTGTAGAAATGGTACCCTCTGGTAAACTAACATAACTATGGAAAATCACCTTTTTTAATGGGTAAATCCACTATTTCTATGGCCATTTTCAATAGCTATTTTGACATAACCAGAGGGTAGCTGTCCAAATGGTCCCCAGCTGGATCAACCTTCGGCCCTCGGATGATTTTTTCGAGCGACACAAATCACAGACCAACCCATCTGCCGCAGCAGTTGGATCTCGGCATGGCGTTCCTGGGATGTTCCCCGTGCCCTGTTGGAATTCACTATAAATGAGCGATGTTTGATCAGGGGAAACCTTTTTGGTCCTTCCTTCCTGGCATTTCTGGGATCTCTCCTTGCTTGTTTCGGGAAAGAAAAGCGCATGTTTGATTGTTCAGTGTGTATCCACAACATTGGTGAGAGCTGAGCTCAAAAGAACCAAATCGACCAACTTCCAGGTGACCCAATTCTTGTGACTTCATCACTTCTCCACAAGGCTACGGCTCAATTGATCTAATATGGGGGGTTCCTAATACCTAAAAATTGATGTTCAAAACATGATGGAAACACCATTTTTTATCTTTTTTTTAGATGGATAATATGGATGATTGGGGGTACCCCCACGCAGGAAATCACCCAATATCCCCCATTTTTTGGGGCCCAAAAGTGTGGGTTCCGAGTCTCTGCTGAGAGCAAGAGACCTTTGGCTCGTTGACGCTCGCCACGGAGCCTCGGGGCACGGGAAAGGCAGCACAGCACAGCAAGGAGATCTTGAGCGAAATGGCTATGGAAATCATATTTAAAAAGAGAAAAAACTAAACATGATATGGATTTACATAGTTTTGTATGGTTTTCTAATGTTTGATATGATGTGTGGTATTTAAGATACTATCAATTACGATCATAACATGATTTCTGGCAAGCCCAAGGGATGCCACCACGCAGCGAGGGCGATGCATGGTAGTAGTCCTCATATCTCAACAGTTGCAGCAGCAAGTGGGTCTCGGGCCTGGCCGTCGGACAAAACGGTGGTAGTCGCAAGTGGAAAGATGTTGAAACTGATGGGTGTTTTTCGTTCAAGAACATGTGATATTGGAACCATCTAAAGAATCTAAAGCTTTGAAACATGTCTATTCAGCTGCCTGCAAGAAAAGACAGCTAGCCGAGAGCCTTGCAAATGAGGTCGCGCTCATTGGTGAGATCTGATCATCTGCAAAGTTAAAATCCTGCATAGATGGCGAATTCGTAGGAATACCAATTTTTCTCTTGCTCAAATTCCCCTCTTCTCTTGGTTGAAAGCCAAAGAAATCAAGGAACATGAGAATAGTAACTATAGTATACATATCTTAATCATAATTCATCATCGTGTATAATATTCATAAGCATGTCATAAGCATATCTTACATCCCCATTCCTCCGGATTCTCCCATCTCTAGGCTAAACCAGTCAGAATGGGATGATCTCCTCAGTCGAGCATGGCGATGTCCTGCTGTTTTGCTGGGCCTGGGATTGGCGATGGCAAGGCCACCCATTCAATAGTGGAAATGAGAGCCCCGATTGTTTAGATGTATACACGTCCACATACCGATGTTATACATATATATATATATGTGTGTGTGTAGATATCACTGTGTATATATATATATATACACATTATAATGATATCTGTGCTTTTTGACCCACTGCCATATTAGAAGGGAACTGCCGCCGTTTTTTTGCGTTTTCAGCATCACTAAGAATCAACGATTCAAAGCCCTGGAAATTCTGGGCATTTTGACCCTGGACAAATAACCCCAAAAACCATCCCATGAAATACTCGTTAATAAGATATCCCGTGAAAACTCTGGGCTGTACTGATGGGTTGCTCTGATCCCCAATAAACCAGGTAGCTTCATAATAACCTCTTGAATAGGCCATCAACACGACCCGCGTTTGCCTTCCGTTTGGCTCTTCGGGCCAATCGCCCGCTTTGCGGGCTGATTTTGTGGACCTACCAAGGGACAGGTCCAAAGGTTCAAGGACTGAAGGACTGAAGGCATGTGTCGAATCTCCTCAAAGACATGGACTTGTCATCTCAAAACGTAGTGCTTAGATCTGCTTCGTTCTCCCAAAAATACATGGTTTATCAGTTTCGCCATGGCCCATTGCCATTTTAGGGTTATCCCCCATATTGTCACAAACCCATTTCTGTCCCTTTTTAGAATTGCGACGTCAACATGGCGTTGTTGTGAACCTTTTTGTGCCTGTTTGGATCTGTCATCACCAGAGATTGTTTCGGAAACTAAGTAGGAATCCAAAAGACATCTAAAGACACAAGAAGCCGCCAGAAAGTCGAGCAACAAACTCGAAGTACAAAATAAACAAACATATATAATATATATATATAATACATGTCATCAAGAGGACTCCAATTCACACTTCTGTCATCCGGATAAAACCAACGAAATATCTATCAGCTGTTCATTGGCTTGGCTTAAGGAAAAACAATGCAGGAAACGTTTTTCTTCATATGAGTTTAACACAGTTTACTCTTTATCCTTCAAATAATCTGCGGTTTCCCGTGGAAGAAAATGACTGAGGCCTCATCTTCAGGCTCGAGCTGCTCGAGTTGCTCGGGCTGCTCGAGGTCCTCGCTAGCGGACACATCGGCGGGATCCAGCTGTCCGTGTTGTCGCCTCGTCGCCATTTTGCATGAGGAATTGATGATCAACGGGGAGAAACCCATCTACCCATCTACCATCTATTGTATTGTTGAAGCACCTGACACGGCTCGCTGCATGCTCTGGAGCAACAAGGTGAGAGAGGTCTAGATTTGAGGGATGCTCAGTGCTGCCAGAGCTTTCAAATTTGGTCATGTTTTTGTTTTTACATGTAAAGAATCATCCAATTTTGGATAAAAATCCGTTTGACACTTGCCCTTCTCATGGAAACTCATCTGTCCCACCTCACAAAGGCGGCAAGTTGAACCAAGCTCATGGCGAAGGGGACGTGCACTGGACCCACCTGAGCGAAACCCCGAAGTCAGCGGCGTGCAACGGCGCTACTGTAGCGGCACCTGGGATCCCCAGACTGTGAGATCTGTCTCCAGCTCCACCCCATGCCATGTAGATAGCTCCTGCCACAAGTTTTCGGATCGTTGCCCTCCATTGTTTCGGAATATATTTCCTACTTTTGGGGGGAATGCAAAAAATACCATCTTCGATGCTTCACGATCTTCTGGGATTGTGAATATATTGAGTTGGACCCGGTTTGGCTGTTTAAGCTCTGAAAACATCCACATCTTCTCCTGCAAGACGACTTCTTGAAACCTCTCTGCTTCAGTGCATGCCGCCACCGCCATGGTGGTGCCGGTGGTCACCAATCTTCGCCATTCCGCGACCTGCGATCAGATTTCACCTGAAACTGGGGCATACCCCCCTAAGCACTTGTCATTTTTGATGGGAAAAATGATGAGGTAACCAGTTTAGTGCTGGTAACCTCGTTCTAGGCAAACCCACGTGGGGGGTGATGAAAATCCATTTACTACCTGCGTTGGTGTGAACACGGAGGCATCAGCTTGATCCATAGCCAGGTATGGGTCTGGGTTCAAAATTGCTGACCCCAAAACTGGATGGTGTTAACCTGCCAAAAAGTTTCTTCTGCAATCGTGCAACCCAAAAACATGGTTTTGCAAACAAAAAGGAGTGATGGCCACAATCCCAAACTAGGATGGTTGAAAACTAGAGATCTTCAAAACCTAGGTAGGTCGTGGTAGGTCCCTAGCCTATTTGGTCCCCCACAACTGCAGCTTCCTTCCTGCTGGCCTCTGGACCAGCCATGTTGGCCAAGCGCCCAGAAAATGGGAAGAGCCGTGGTAGCACCGCAGCGGCCTAAGGGCACTCATGTTCATCCCCTCCCATGGTCGGGTATTGACCCATGCCAAGTCAAGGTCAAGATCCACTTTGAACAGTTTTTTTCAGGTGCTTCAAGTCTCATGCATGACTGACCTATACAACATAATCCTTCAAGTCTTCAAATCCGCCTCGCTCTCGTAGTCATCTCTGGGCAGGTTCCTGAAGCCGCTCAGGGTCAAAGATTGGGGCAACATCTACGGCAACGCCGGGGTCCTTAACTTATCAGCCATCAGCGCAACCATGGGCGCCAGCTTTGAAGACGACAGATCCTGCAGCATCACTTGGACGCATGGCCTTCTACAGAAACACTGTGGTAAACCCAACGCCATGACCCCCATCCCCAGTGACATACCACAAACGGGGGGCTTGGGTCTCAGGAGCTAAAGATCGAGCCGAACACCACACAGCTGGTTCCGGCCTGTGGTTTCTGCTCGGTTAAGCTGAAGATCGCAGCAGCCTGCCATCCCCCGAGCATGGAAAGCTATAAAAAGGACGAGTCTTCAACATCGCTATTTCGACCAATCCCATCCTCTAAATCTTGAATACACCCATATGGCCAGGGGTTCTGGCCGAGTATTTAACATTAGTTCCGGATTACTTCAATGAGGCACCAAGGTGTCCAGAAACCTCTGTAAATCATACTTCGAGCCATTCACCCTATTTGGAATATTAGGCCACTGCTCATTGTCCATCTTTCTTCACAGGATTCCCAGGATATACTGTACACTACCACATGTGGTGGCTGACGACCCGGTTTGCTGCTTTGCTCATCATTGCAGCTCATAACTCCATAAAATTGCCGAGGATATCCGCCATTTTGCTGGGTTGTTCACCATCTTCAACAGAAACATAATTATGAAATTATGACTTCCCCAAATCTTCATATTTCGCATTCCACCAAAAACATGAAAAGACTCATCCAGCCCCCAAGAAATACGGTTCCCCCTTGAAAAAAAAACCTCCAGCACAGCAGCGGCGCACTCCGGCGACTGCACCATGGCGGTCCGAGAGAACAGCTTCCCAGCATCCACCAGCTGTGCAAAGGACAGCCGTGCCAGCGCCAGCAGCGAGCTTGCAAGATCCACCTGGGAAGCAATCCACCTCAATGAGCAATAAATCACTCATTGAAACCCACCGTTGTTGCAATATTTTTTTTATGGGAACATCATATGGGGGACGGGGGGATATGTCAAATATATAACTAACCAACTCTATCCAAGTTGGATGTGTCTGAAAATGGTCGATTTACCCTTAATGTGTGGTCATTCTAGGGGGAAAAATGGTGATCAACCATCTAATCTGGTGGTATCCCACTTATGGACAAACCTTATATTGCTGGTCATTCTTGGGACCGTAAACCATACATCTTTGCGGGGATCAAAAATCTTGAGCCCCAGCAAACTGCAGGAGGTCTTTGATGGGAAAATCATCCATACCCTTCAGCAATCAAAGATTTCTGGAAAATCCATGAAATTCCCCCAGTTATAGATGATGTTTCTCATTGAAATGCCCATTGATCCTCATTTATGGAGGATTTCCCATGGAAAAATGAAGGACTTTCCAGCCACTGCAGGCCTCCGACAGCTCGTCCGGATGTTTGGTAGACAAGGGCTGCTGAGCCTTGGGGCGCCATGGAAACACCATGGCTGACACTAGTCATGGCTGTTTGAGTATGGAAATGTGAAGAACTTCTGCTTACCCTCTGGTAAAGTAACATGGCAATGGAAAGATCCACCATTTTTAATGGGAAAATCCACTATTTCGACTGGGCCATTTTCAATAGCTATGTTAAATTACCAGAGGGTAACAATCTTAAGAAGTGGTTGTTTGGGAAAAAAACACAAGTTCTCTTTGGCCAGGTTCATGTTTAGTACAGAAATCTCTTATGAGAGTCGGTTAGCAACTCATCCGCTGATCTGCGTCAATTACTCATGTGGTTGCTATATCTGGTATGACCTATTTGTGTCTCCACACTCTGACAAGCAATTCTTGAGGCGCAAACCAGTAGATTTTGGCCAAGGTAAAACCAGTGCCTTGGAGCAAACAGGAGGCAACAGGGGTAATTCCCCCATTAGACACGGCCAACTTGGATATAGTTGGTGAATCATGTCCCATTAAAAAAAAAAACATATGATTCATATACCCTCTGGTAATTTAACATAGCTATTGAAAATTGCCATTTATAGTGGATTTTCCCATTAAAACTGGTGATTTTCCATAGCTATGTTAGTTTACCAGAGGGTATATTCATCTGATCTTCCCACAAAATATCCCCCTTCTGGTTGGCTTGAAAAAATACTCAGTCCACTTCCCTGTCGACCCCTCCACTTCCAAGCTGCGTATCCCGAACCAACAGCATGGCAGCACAGCGTAGCAACATTGCCGCCGTGGCTGGCTTTGGATCCTGCAGATCAGTTGCAGAGGTCAAATGCATATGCCCCACCAATATAAATATATATATATTATTGTTATTATTATTATCATTAGTATTACTAGCATTAGTATTAGTATTAGTAGTAGTAGTAGTAGTAGCAGTAGTAGCAGTAGCAGCAGCAGCAGGAGCAGTAGCAGTAGCAGTAGCAGCAGCAGCAGCAGTAGCAGTAGCAGTAGCAGTAGCAGTAGCAGCAGTAGCAGTAGCAGTAGCAGTAGCAGTAGTAGCAGTAGCAGTAGCAGTAGCAGTAGCAGTAGCAGCAGCAGCAGTAGTAGTAGTAGCAGGAGTAGTAGTAGTAGTAGTAGTAGTAGTGTTATTATTGTTTTTATCGTGATTATTATCATCATTATCATTATTATCATTATTATCCAATATATATATATATTATCATTATTATTGTTATTCTTATTGTTATTGTTGTTATTATTAATTAGAATTATTGTTATATTATTATTATGCTTATGATTATGATTATAATTATCATTATTATGTTGTTGTTATTATTATTATCATTATTATCATCAGTGTTATTATTATTATCATGATGATTATTAATTATGTATGTATATTATATATATATATGTATGTATGTAATTGTGTATATATATATATATCTACATATACATATATATATATATATATATATACGTCTGTGCGTTTGTATGTGCATATATATATGTATGTATGTACAGTATATATATATATATATTACCTGTACATCACCTATAGATCCCCTAAATGTTGATGTTGTTGATATCCTTTCCAACCATCCTCTCATCCAGCGGTCCACGTGACGCTTCTGCAGCCCCTGCAACTGGAGCAGCAAGGCTTCTCTGGCCTATCCAAATGATTCAACGTGGGGATAGCATGGTAAATAATGGGATAAGCTGTAATGGGATATATGGGATATATAACCTGATATGGCATTTGGGTGTGTCTCAAGACGAGTGTTTTGCCACCCATCAGATGTTTTTTTTCTTGGTAACTGAGGTTCTAAACCATGAGGTGCAGTTGAGGCTCCAATTGTGAGACAATCCCAGAAGTGGGTCAAAACCATGAAATCACCAGGTGAAATCACACCGAAGTATGTAGCTCCTTCATACTGTATTGGTATGTTCATTCTCCTAAAAATGCTGTCCTAGGCATTGACCCATCCCTATGTTGCCAACAAAACTGATCACCTACATTGCTTTTCTTCTACCAGCAAAGGCAGAGTTTCATGCTTGGCAAACTGGGGAGATCAACAATGAAGACAGGATTGTCACCAGGAGATATGGGTTCTTACCCAGCAAACATGGGGATTTGCCAGTATGAATAGTGGCTTATCTTGCGATCCCAGACCTCCCAGACCAAAACGCCATGAGATTTGACACACATCACACTGGCCTCCCACAGCAAGTCCGGCGAGGTCACACCTCGCGCCACTTAGAGAGATGTTCTGTGTTTTTGCAGAAAGCGGTCCCCAGACCTACTTTACACCCTGAAGCTGGGGTGTGTATCCCACTTAAAAGCCAAATAATAACTCAAAAATAAGGAAATCCCCAGTCCTGGACTTCAGTTCTCCTTTTTCTACACGCTAACGTCAACTGCGAATTCATTCACCCTGGTTTTTTTTGGGGGGGGAGCGAGACCAGCCAGTAGCCCAGCCTGGTGGCATCTGCCGGACGGAGAGTGACCATGACCTGTGAGGGACAGCAGCCTCCGTCAGCATCCCAGCAACTTCACCTTCCGAGGAGCTTGCGGTGGATGATGAAATTCTGATGATAACACGGATGTTATTTATTACAGGAAACCAGAGCATGTTTAAGACATTTTTTACATAATTCATATAATTCTAAGCTATGAACATGGGTATTGCTTCTATTTATCCCAAGAATATGGTCAATCAGAGGCCTAGCGCCTAGAATGCTTTACTATCTTAGCTACATGAAACGGAACTTGAAATGTCCACAATTTTTAATCTCCAAAGAAGTGGCCAGTTTTTATCCCTCATATCCCCGTAAAATGGTTGGCTTGAAAAAACCCCAGGGTTTCCATGGGTTTGTCTGAAAGTGGGGTACCCCAGGTACCAAAAAAAAACATTGGTTGATCATCATGTTCCTATCAAAATATATCAGTTGAAGGTATACCATGGTATATCCCATTTTCAACCAAACTCATTTCTTCAAGGAGCGTATTCATGATATTCAATGCAAATCAAGGGTTGATCCCACAGATGAATCATCAACCAAGGGTGCCAATATATGATATGTTTGTTGTTTTTTCTGATCTCAAACAACCCCCAGGGTGAATTGATTGGTGATTCGGGCTGCTATTTGGCTCTGGATCAAGATTTGGCACTTTGAAGTTTCAGATCAAAATAGTTGCCAACAGTTTTGACCCCACCCCAGTTTGACATGACCTGACAATGCCAACTATATTCCAGTCATAAGAGATTAGAATTCCGCAATTGGCATGGTCATCTTCTATAGAAATAATCATTTTCAGTTGATGTCCCGCTCTGCCAATGGGGCCTTTGCAATGCCATCTCAACCCAACGATTCTTACAAAATCCCCCATGTTGCATGGATTTTCATCTTGAACCAAGTTTTTCTGCTGATCCCTTGGAATATCATATCCCATTTTTTGCCTATCATGTGGTTGGAAGTTGGAAAGCTCAATTTGTAGTTCATTGGCTTCCATTTCACAGGGGATACAACCATAGTTCCATAGTCCCCAACAGCTCCCCCCTAACCACCGGAAAGTCCCATAGTATCCCCGATATGGTGCCATTTTTCTGGCTCAAAAATCCTCGATATATCCCAGTTTATCCCATGATATTTCCATTTTGGCGCTATGTCCGTCCAACTGAAACCAAAAAAACTCATCACCAAATAAGTATCCCACTATGTCCCTATTCTATCCTATTATATCCCTATCATATCCCTATTATATCCCATTGTATAAGAAGCCCCCAACAGTGCGGCCTTAATACTTTCCGTAAGAAACCCCTCAGTGTGGCCACACTGTTTGGGGAACTATAAAAAAAAAATGTCTTAGTATTTGTTGGTAATATATATCAATATCCCATGGATTCTCCCATTAAAACCAAAAAGAAACACGCCATGACTCTAAGCCCCTGGCAGATCTCTGAGGTCGTGAGCACCGCTGGGCCCCCCAAAGCCGCATCGCTGCGCGTTAAACGCCAGGCGGCCACCGAGCTGCCCCGGGCCTGACAGGTACCCTCTTCAGGGTGTCATCAAACCATGGGGGAAAATCGGAAAATCCATCGGGAAATCCCTTGAAAATGCTGATGCTCATGATTTTATGGGATTTTCCTCATGATTTTCCTATGGATTTGAACTCTTTCTGGCCCCACGTGATTCAGCCGCACGGCAGCACGGAGCATTGGCAAGCATGACCTCATCCAGGCGGTGAAATCTGGCGCCTCAAAATTAAATGAGACACCGCTAAAATCGACTTAAAAGGCACAATTTTAATGCGAAGCTTGATGATAAAGCATGGGATTTGGGGCTTCCAAATTTTGAGACAACCTCGAAAAACTGCAACACGCAAATCATCCAACTCGGTCCCATGTGCAGTTCTCTCATTGCAGCTCTTCTAAGCAATCCATTGTAGATTTTGAAATGGATCATGTTGTGATTTTGCGCTGGTCCTCTTTGTTGCTTGAAGCACAACACCTCACATGTCCATTCTACATATTGAGTCGCGTGCCGCGGAAGTAACTCCCGGGCTCTGTAGGCAAGCTCGTCTAGAATGCGAGGGCTGCACGCAGCCTTCCGCCAGTTGACCCCTAGAAATCCAACGACAAAGAGATTTTCCATGGTAACATCAGAAGTGTAGGAGTCGTCCATGACTTGAACTTCCAAGGTTACCTGCAGAAATTCCTTCCAGCCTCAATCTCTGGAAGGTACTGGAAGAGCTCCAAGAAACGCACAAATTGACCAGGCACAAGGTCATAGTACAAGGCCTTTCAGCAACCCGGAAAAGATCAGAAAACCATCGTCCCACGAGGTATTATCAAATCAAGAAAAGAGGCTTGCTACAGAGGGATGCACGAAGGAGGAACCTTGCCATGTGCCATACAGTCCACTCACTTCCAATTCGCGCTGGCCAGTGCTAAGTTCAGGCCGGGAAAACAGTTGGATCATGGTTCGGAATTACAAATTACACAACCTATAGACTTGTTCGATGTTGTTTGTCTTCACCATCCAATTCGCGGGTACCCAAAGTTGACCCATATGGAGGTTTCCAATATCCATGGGGGGTACTCCCTAATCATCCATTTTAATAGGATGTTCCATTATAAACCATCCAGCTATTGGAATACCCCCATTTTAGGAAGCCCCAGATAATATAATGAATGGTTATTATAATAATATTAACCATGGGATAATATTAACCTGATATGATAAACCATCCAGCTATGTATTGGTATCCGCTAACCGGAAGATTCGTCGAGGCTCGTTCAATCGCTTTGGCAGATGCATCAACAATCGAGGCCTTGGTGGCCACAAAAATCAACCAGCTGAGAGGTATCGTGATGAAACACGGGGAGCTGCCACTATATGTGTATATATTATGTGTATATGTATATATACATATATACATATGCATTATACATATATATATATATATGTACATATATATACATGTACATATATATAGTACAATATGTTGTAAGTCTTTTTGGTTGTTTCTTCGCAACATGTAAAACAGCCGGACAATTCCCATCGCCATGGCGGCCATGGAATCTTTCTTCGGCTCTGCGCTTCCCCACGGAATGACATCGTCGTTGTTGGAACGCACCAGGCTGACCAGGGCCAGGGACAGGTGTAAGACCTCAACTTTTCATACGGACCCACTTGTGGAGAAACCTCCAAGTGCTCTGCAAAGTATCATTCAAGTCTGTATGGTGAATATGGGACCCAAATGCCAACCTCCCATGTGCGACACCCAATTGCACAAAAACTCGATCAAGAATGAACCGTGCGTCCAAAGCCCAATCCTCCCACAGCTCTGTCCCAGTTGTGTCCCCTTGCAATTCATAATTGTTTTAGAAGTTCTTTAGATCCATTTACATCCAGATATGTTGATCTACTTATAGAAATGATAGGTGAAACTCCATCTATATTATCTAATGAGAAGAAAAACTCCCTGGCCCCCCATCGCCACACCGAATACCCCTCCATTCAAGGCACATCGGAGCCTTTGAACGAAAAGATGTGTCGATCGCCTAGGTGTATCACAGGGTTCCAGATATAACCCCTTTCCCCTAATATTAAACACCCCCATTGAAACCATGGTTTAGTAGGGAATTTCCACATAATTGGGACCATACAATGCGGGTGTATCCTATTGACATCAGGAAATATTGAAGCGATTTGGTGGGTAGAGGTCAAAGATCTTGAGGAAAAAATGGAAGTTGAGCATTATTCTAGGTCCAGTGTTTGCCACACCAATAATATAGACCCCTGAGCTGATAAATGTGGAAACCCTGCAAACGTTTAATCTTTTGGCACAATATTCCTACATTTTCGTCAAAATAATCCAGTATATTGAACTCCCCAGCCAAGGTTTACTCAAATGTTGATGCTTGCAACATATCAAAAGTCGAAACCCAACGTTTGATGGTTGGAATCTCCTATATTTTTATGATTAAATTCCCATATGTTGATGGTGAAAGCCACTGAAAGCCATGTTTTTTTCGCTGGCAGCTTGGTCCCCACACACTGCTCCAGCAGAAGCTCCACAAAGGCCAGGTGAGTTAGCTCACCCACCTGGATACCATATAATCTATGTAGGTATAGACATGCAACATGTGATATACATATGATATAATATTTAACACTTTATGTATATATATATTATGATATATGTTAAACATATATATCATATATATATATATCATATATATTTATATATCATATTTATATATCATATATATATATCATATATATTTATATATCATATTTATATATCATATATATATATCATATATATATATATATCATATATATATATCATGTATATATATATATCATATATATATATCATATATATATATCATATATATATATCATATATATATATCATATATATATCATATATATATATCATATATATATATATATACCATATATATATATACCATATATATATATATACCATATATATATATATATGAATCCGTCCACAGAGCTTTCAAACGTCTACCCAAATCTGTAAGCTTTCCCTGTCATGGTGATTTCATGTGATTTCACTATTTCATTTGGATTCCCCTAAAGTCAAACTCTCCGGCTTTGCCTCGCTTTGAAAGAGCGGCAGGAACTCAGACTCTTCGTTTCGACTCTTTCTGGCGCCTAGCGGAAGGTTTGGTTCGTTCGATCCAACAAGCACAAAACATCATCAAAACTCGCTGTTTCAAATTTTCAAACTCATCCCATCTGATAACTTTGATGCTAAGATTCGTTCCCACAAGTTGATCCATGATCTGCCCCGTGGTAGTACTGTCACATACTGTCACTATACAGATATATTGATTCAATAATACAATATACAGCCAGGCCTATCAGATCAGCTGTGCCCCCTTCTTTTTCGATCTCACCTTCGATCTGAAAGTTCCTCCCCGTGGTGCGAGTGAATGCACATGCAAGCAACGAGAGCGTATGGCCGTCATCGATGCGATGCATACCTGAGATCTGGAGAAAAGTCTCAGCACTTCTAGAGATGACTGCTGAAATGATTGCCGCTGTGCAGTCAAATTTGCCAAGTTTGCCCACACCCCGTCCCACCCACCATTGCCGTCCACGGGATCACCGCTACTGCTACCGGGCGGCGTGGCGTCAGTGATGCAACGATCTGGTCGAAGATTGGCTCACATCCAGGATCCGAGAGTCTGGCAAAGGAGAGCGCCAGCAGCGACAACTCCTCTGGAGCCACTTGGAACATGTGGAAGGCACCGTCGAAGAAGGGATCCAAACAAACATTGGCTTTTCCGAAAGAAACATCACGACTATAGAAAAACTACCCCAAAAATCCCGTGGTTTTCGGAAAGCTCCTATGATTGCCAAGAAGAATCGCCATCTCTCAGGGTCATTTTTTTCTCCCCCGGGTCCTGTCCTCCCATTTGGATTTTTCGGTGATACGACGCAGAAGTGGAGGCAACAGGCTTTGACACAGGAGTTCGTCCCGAAGGCCGAACTTGGCCAGAGCGTTCCTAGGCCCAGATCCTACAAAAGGGTTTCGTCCTGATTTGTACCCCTCGAAACCCAGATGGGACCACTCTGGCTATTTAGGCTATTTCCCGGCCCTATTCCGAGGAAAATCATCTGCCAAACCAAGGTTTTGGTTGTCATATGTTGTCATGTTTTCACGAGTCTGTCACCAGTGAGGAAGCAACAAGAATGTGAGTGGGGTGTGTGTGTGTGTGTGCAACCTGCACAAAAATGAGCCCATCTAAAAATATGGCCTGATTGGTATAACCGGCAACTTTCATGGGATACCCATGCAGGGGATTAGGGATACCCAACCCCCATCCCCATGAGATGGACTCTGGGACACCCAGCAAGAGCAACGAAGCATCACGGACCATAAACTGCCGGGCTTTGCCACGAACCTGTCAACTTTTAGATCGTTTTTTCAAGAAACTCCACAGCAAACCTGGACCGGTGTGTGTGATTGTGTGCGATGGACCTCTTGCAACAAGTAGTCCAACACGGCCGTGTCCTTGTACCTGATTCTGGCCTCATTGGAGTCATCACTTCAAAAACTGCTGTTGCTCAGGACCTGATTTTTGTGACCTGAAGATTGCAGGACTGTAGCAACATCCTCCACGACGTTTTTTTCATCTCGCATCATGAAGTCATAATAATACTATAGGCGTCTTGCCAACCCAAAGAAAGGGACCAAACATCCTCTTTGGAATGTATCTTGACCCATTCACTTGGGGCCGATGCCAACTGCACATCTGAAAGCAGAGCTCGTCTGCCAGATTTTCAGTCGGACTCCAGTACCTCTCCTATGATGCCACCATCATCATCTCTCGAGCTTTCATTAAAGTACTTGAAATCCTCAGCACTGCAGGCCGCATGGCCATGCTGAAAAAGTGGTCTCTTCAAATGGCGACTGGGCCACCTACCAATACAACCACTTAAATAGCCATGGTTACACTCAAGCCAGCCAATCTTGGGGGAAATTACGCTAAACAAAAACAATATATCGTATCACATAGGAAAAAACACTAAAAACCCTGGCAAAACGAATCTAGAGCCACTTTCGAAATTGGCATTCTCAGCTCCATCTTCGAGAGTGCCGTACCGACAACTCAGCATTGGTTGTACTTCTGGTTGTTTGTTCCAACCCATGTCATCAAACTGTTCATGGTTCTACCCCCTTGTGAATCGCTGCCAGGTCTCCATAAAAATGGCCACTGCCAATACCATGAGTTTGGCCGCAGGGTGGCCAACCTCACAAAACTGAACAACTTCAGGTCCAAGCGGCAGCTTATCTGCCAAATTGACCATTGAAATGGGGAATATGATGAAATATGATGATTCACCATGACATCATGATTCACCGTTAACCATGATGAACCATCAAATCTGGGGCCGTTTTTCAAAGCGTAACATACTCGAGCTGCCCTCCCCGGCCTCACCAAATTCAATTTCATAGTTGTCCACATCCTGCAGGCGGTGACCAAACTGCGAGTTGACAGCATGTAATGCGAAGCAGAGCGATAACAGAAAGCGAGAGTCCTCTTGGATCATCCATTTGCAGCATTTAATCTTCTTGACAATTTCACCAATCTGCCTGCCTTCTGGGTTCCTTGGAAAGGCACAGGGAAACAACAAATTGTCAAGCGAAAAGAATGTTCACACTTGGAGCCTGCTCTTTTGCAACTCAAGAAAAATAGTCGACCATGTTCTTGGCAAACCACATCTCTTCTGATGCCTTTCCAGATCCACACTTGAAACTCTGCTCGTCTAAGCCCTGAACTTCACCCATGGGCCATTTTCTACATCAAATAAGCTTCGGTGGTATCCCCAACAGCCGCAACGTTTTATTTTTACAAATCTTTCTGAACCTTCTCCGGAACCCTGTTGAACCTGACTTGGCTCTGCACCAAAGCCTCCCAGACCTTCTCCGGAACCTTCGGAACCCTCCGGAACCCTGTTGAACCTGACCCGGCGCCTGCACCAGTGCACACCGGAGCTATTCTGGGCTGAAGACCCCATTAGCTTACGCTGTTGGGGAATTATATAGCCCATCAGAGAATTGGTGCCTCGCCATGAAGTGTCTGAAGCTTTCCCCAAATCCTAAGTTGATACTGGATAATAGAATATTTCGAGAACACTGGACGACAGATAGAATAGGTCCAAAACACTACCAGCAAATCCAAGAGATAGAATATTCCGGCTAAGTGATAAGCAACATATTAATAACCTATGTGAGTTTGATGAACACTAGCAAAAAAACTAAAGAGATAGAATCTTCCATGTGAAATAATGTTGAGATAAAAAAGAAAATGTGTCCCTTAAATGATTCAACACTATCGGATTGCTGAGAAAAATATTACGTTCGGGTTCCACTAATTCCATATCCAAACACATGAACACATATAAGTTAAACTTTAAGTTATTATAAGTTCTCCAAGGTTCTGTATTGCGAAGGTCACCCGAGAACAAGGTCCACAAGGACAAGGACAGAAGAGACCCAACTGACAACATCCGCCATCGATGGTCACCAGGTCTCGATCTTCATGATCCTGCGATGGGCACGTCTAGTGACCCAAAAAAACATCGAAAACCCGTTTACCCTACCTGGCTTTCTACATCTTGTATCTATATTATATATTTATAATATATATATATATTTGGTGGTGGCCAAAAACTACAGAAAGCGTCCTTGGCGTGAAACACGAGGTTGCAGCATGTGCAAGGATCCACCACGTGACCCACTGGAACGCCGCTGGTATCTTGAACCGTCACAATTGGTCGGTTGAAGCAACAGCCTTGTCCCGCGCATAGGCGTTGCAATTGGGTATTTAAAACCGATATCCCCCAAACGAAAAATTGTTTAGGATTTTGATGATATGGCATTTATCGCAGTACTCGTCGTCCTCTCAACGGACCCATGTCCTTTCGAACTTGCAGGCAAGGTGCAAGTGGCAGTCCAAGCCTTCTCCAATTTAAAGGCAGGATTGCCGGCGTACCTTTCATCACAAAATTCATGCAAAAAAGGAGGATCAAACACGATCAGACAAGATCAGTTTTGCATGGGTCGAAATTTGAGCTACCCCAAAACTGGGTGGTTTAAGTGGTGGTCTCTGGGTCTACGATGTTGACTGATACCCACATCTGGGCCAGAAACGCATACCGCAGCCAAGTGGCAGCAGATCCACGTTCCACGCAGCGCAATCCGGACAGCATTGCTTCAGCTGCCGGGTAATACAATCCGTCTGTTCCACCGCATAGAAGATATCACCGCCCTGGGCGCAAAAAAGATGGGGATGGGATCTGGGATGGTAAACATGCTAAAATGAATAGATAGGTATTGTAGGCATTCACCGTCAAAAAAGAGGATACGCCCTGGGTATACGGTATACGGTACTGCCTGGGAAGACCATGGTTCATGGGATTCCAGTTTGGCTACCTGGGATTCCATCGTCAATCGTCACCGTCTTTTCCAGGAGTACTTTGAGTGCATCCCCTTGAAGTCTCAGGTGAGTCCCCACAAAGTCTTGCTTCAATCCCCTGTTGATATCTGATTCTCTGTTGATCATTGTGACGATGTCAGAAAAGCTGCAGAATCCAAAGATCAGGAGGGTTTCACCGCAAACTAAACTCTTCATCAGTCCAAGAATCTGTGTGGCTATCCACGATTCTATACCTCTGCACGGCAAGATGCGTATCAAAGTGTTCATAGTCAGAGTCACAGCCGGAAAGTGACATGGTGACTGACACTCTTTAAAAGGAAAAAAATCACGGCAAATGCCATCATTGATCCCATCATTCAAAGAGCCAAGTCGTGGGGAACCCCAACATTGCCGCCAGGCAACTTGTTGGCCATTTCAATTTCCTGTCCAAGTGCCGCGGTAATTGCCTCTACGATTCGAATCTCCTCTTTGATTTCCGCATGGGTCACCTGTCATTTCAGCTTCTTTTTAAGGGCAAAACAAAGGTTTTGGTAAAATCCTACTGAAATAGGGAACAAACTACTTTTCTTTTTTTCAATCATTTTTGTAGGTTGGGATGGTGTCCACCCATTTCTGCAAAATCTTAGCGTTCGTGCATGGGTCAAATCATTTCGGTACCTGTTTTGACCCACAAATGGCTGGTATTTTTCGAGGCTAGAACCATCCATTGTGCTTGGTCCTGCACAAACAATTCAATTCAAACGGTGCAAACATCAGCGGAAGACTGTTTTGAACAAGCACCCAAGAAAATCAAGAAAGCTGAATTGAAACTGCAACCAGTCGCTGACTTCAAGTGCTCCATCGACTGCATGGGGGGAGAATACGAATAGTTTTGTCCATACATCTTGACGAGCTTGTCCTGCAGCGAGGACTGAGAGTGGGAGCTTACTTTGGCGTGAACAAACATGTCCAACGCAGTTTGAGAACTTCTTGGTTTCAGGGGTCAAAAACCAACACAAGTCCCTGCTGTGTCATCAAAAACTCCTTCAAAATATGACCGTCACCGGGTGCAACTCTTCGAGCACTATGGCTGCAGGACAATAGAAGCTGCCATGCCCAATAAATTCAAGCTGCCATGCTGCAAAACCATTGATCCATAGACGAGAAACCATGAGGAGAACAGTTGACACCGGTGCCCAAAGATGGATGACAAAAAAAAGCAAGTGATATCAGCTGGTTTATTCCCAGTTTTTGGGCTTATTCGGTTGCTTGATCATCGCCAATAAACCAGTTGTTACAACCGCAGGCGCTGAGCTCCACACCAAAGAATCGATGGTCACTGCCAAGTCGCGAGCCCTTGCACTTTATAACGGTGAAATGTGAATCCCATAAATTTGGATGCAAGTTCTGAAATGCAAAATCTAATTCTGAGGGTTACCGTATTTCAAATGACACCTTGGCGCGTTGTTCATAGCCATATCAAGGGGAAGCATTGATGTGAGAGGCAGTGATAGGCCTCAAACATTTCTTCAACAGTGGGTGAAAACACGTCCAGCCAATCTCCCAAATCAAGATGCCCTTTCCATATACGTATACGTATGTTAAAGTCAGTCAAAGTGTCAGTGATGTCACCACAGTTGGGAAATGCACTGGTACATCCCCGCCTAAATTCACCACGGAGCAGACTTGCACGATACAACAAGGCATCCCAAACCTCTGCAAATGTTCAAGTGCAATGTTGACAACACGATCTCTCAGCAGTACAGGACACACTCGCCTCACGATTATCGATACGTCGTTTAGATGCTTCTTGCACTACTCCACAAAGTTCAGAAGCATCCAGGCGATAGACCTTCGCAGCACCGATTTCAACTGAATGGTGACTGATTTCTTCATACCAACTGAGATCCAGTGCGCACCCGCTTGAATGTTTGCAAGCGCAATTCGCGCAAAGCTGCAACTGCCATGCACCAAAGGGATCATGGGTTTGATGCCACCAAGGAAGACAAGAAACAATGCTATTCATTACGGTTACCGTATGTTCAATATATACCAAGGCAAAAAAAACACAGTGAGCAATGGACTTTGTGCTGCATGTGACTGAAAGAGAAAAGAGTAATCGAGACATGCCTGAGTGCATTTTTTGACAACCTTTGAGGCTGCGTCTTGCAGGAGGAAGGTGAGCAACTCGCAGGGATAGGCAGGAGCACAACTACTTGCCAGAAGTTTGTTCTTTCAAGGTAGTTTACAGGAAAAAACATATTTTTCAAGCATGAACTACGAGTCTATGTCTATGTCTATGTTCAAAGGATCATCTTGCCGCAAAGGTGCAACTGAATTCTCGACTTTTTTCGTGATGCAGATAGGTCATACACCAAGGCAGCCCATGCAGCAAGCCGAGGTTGCAACACAAACCAAAACTGAGATTGTAAACCTCAAACCAAAGTTTCAACAAATTTCCGCCCTGTCTTCTTCTGGGGAAACTCCTTGGCCGACTTGCCCGAACTTGGAACGGTGTCAGCTTCGGCATCTGGGTCCCACATCCGAATGGAGAAGTCGTCACTGCCAGAAGCAAGGTGCTTGCCATCTGGGCTGTATGCAACAGAATCAATCACATCGGTGTGGCCCGTGAAGGTTTTCAAACACTTCCCAGTAGCTGCGTCCCAGATTTTGATGCTTTCATCCCAACTGCCAGAGGCAATGCGCTTGCCATCTGGACTGTAGGCCACTTCCCAAATGTAATCTGTGTGACCTTTCAGGGTTTGCAAACACTCCCCTGTGCTTACATTCCACACCTTGATGGTGCGATCATCGCTGCCTGAAAGGAGATACTTTCCGTCAGGGCTGTAAACCACCGACCTCAGGTAATCTTTGTGGCCCTTGAGCGTGCGCACACATTCCCCAGTAGACAAGTCCCAGATTTTGATGGAGCGGTCGGCACTTCCCGATGCAATGTGTTTGCCATTTGGGCTATAAGCCACCGTCCAAACATCATTTCTGTGGCCCTTGAGGGTCTGCAAGCACTGGCCAGTGCTGGCATCCCAGATCTTCACGGTGTGGTCCCATGCGCAAGAGGCCACCGTCTTGCTGTCTGGACTATAAACCACTTTCCGAACAGAATCTGTGTGACCTAAGAGAGTCTTCAGACATTTCCCAGTCCGAGCATCCCAAATTTTCACAGACTGGTCATCACTGCAGGAAGCAATCTGCTTACCATCGGGGCTGTAAACTACCGACCAAACATCATTTGTGTGGCCTTCAAGTGTTTTCAGGCATTTCCCAGTGGTGGCATTCCAAATTTTCACCAAATAATCCTCAGAACCTGAAACCAACACAGCACCGTCCGGTGACCAACGGACGGAATCCACTGGCGTCCCTTCCCAAATCGAACTTGGAAATCCGGTCACTGCTGGTAAGACCACGACGGCGGCCACCACGGCAACGAGGATCGTCATGGCCTGTTGGATTTTGATCCTACTTTGAAATGGGAGATGAATTTGGATGCCTGCGGACACGTTGCAAAATAAAAAAATAAAATGGAATCAAAATTCAAAATCGTATGGCACGATCAAAAACATTTCGAAACCATACGTCAGGTATTTTGATTTTTTTGAAACAATTTATCGGTGTTTTGGACTGTTCGTTTGGAAACACCCTAAATTGAATCGATTGATTCGTCCACAAAAACAGACTTCGACGGTATCCCCAACAGCCGCAATGTTTTATTTTTACAAATTTTCTGAAGCGTGCTGCGAAGCAAGGCGCTGGAAACACCTCAGCTGGGTTTCCGTGAGTTAAATGGCCGCAAATCCTGTTGAACCTGCCAGACCTTCTCCGGAACCTTCTCCGGAACCTTCTCCGGAATCCTGTTGAACCTGACCTGAACCTTCTCCAGAACCTTTTCCGGAACTTTCTCCGGAACCCTGTTGAATCTGACCTGGCTCTGCACCAAAGCCTCCCCTCCCGGAACCTTCTCTGGAACCTTCTCCGGAACCCCGTTGAACCTGACCTGGCTCTGCACCAAACCCTCCCGGAACGTTCTCCGGAACGTTCTCCGGAACCCTGTTGAACCTGACCTGGCTTTGCACCAAAGCCTCCCAGACCTTCTCCGGAACCTTCTTCGGAACCTTCTCCGGATTGGCTCTGCACCAAAGCCTCCCACACCTTCTCCGGAACCCTGTTGAACCTGACCTGGCTCTGGACCAAAGCCTTCCAGACCTTCTGCGAAACCTCTTCCGGAATGTTCTCCGGAACGCTGTTGTACGTGACCTGGCTCTGCACCAAAGCCTCCCAGACCTTATCCGGAACCTTCGGAACGCAATCTAAAAAATGGGCGTCGCCTCTTATTTTGTGTATTTGTTTGTTTTCCTCTGAGCGGAAAAGCGCCTGGATAAGTACAGATATTACACATGCACTGGACAGCAAATGAACTGCACTACAAGGTGTAACATGACAGCAAAATGTACACGCTATGGATCCCGTCAAATGTTCGCACCCCGCCTTGGTGTAGCTATTGTTGCTAACACCACAATTCTACATTTGATCATAGCCAAAAACGTCGATTTGGCACCAAAAGTTTCTAAGAAAACTGAATTGGTGGTTTTGGCTGCCGGAGCTCTGCTTTGGAGTGCTGCTGCTTTGCCGCGTCTACTTCGCACACTGCCTGAGGTTGGTCTTTAAAAATCGCTATCCTAGGCTATGGCTAATTGCTACGGGCAGCTTTGAAACTTTTCAACCGGCTTCTGACTTCATTTCTCCATCCATGTCATTTGTTTCATGACGCACATCCATCCAGCATTCTGGACCTGAAACTTCGCTCATGTAGCTGTGCACGTACCTCTCAAAACGCTCTTGTGGATCTTTAAGTTCACCAGAACTTTCATTTTCCAAAGCATTGAAACTCTCAGCCAACTGCCGGGCCACAACATCCACATGCAAACTGCCAGAAGTCATTGAAGCTCGCACATTGAGGCTCATCAGATCAGAACCAAAATCGAAAGCACGCTGGGCTCCACGGATGGCACTGAAACATCCATCATCACTCAAAGCATGTGCTGGTGAAGTTTCATCTTCACTCAAATCATCAACCTCCACCAACATGTTGTATGCATCAAGGCGTGTGACCTGGCCATTTCCGAGACAAACCATCAAGTCTCTCAGAATTTATATCCTCTCTTGGTAGATGTTCTGCTTGAGGAACACATTGGAACGCGCAAACCTTCCAGAGCATCTGTCATACAGCCAGACAATGAAAGCTTCAGGTGACCACTCTGCACCAACTGGAGGCATTGTCTCCCGATAAAACACTGGGATGCGATCCACATAGTTCGGTGGCTCTGGTGCAGGGTCAACTTGTTGTTGCAAACTTGATGAAGTCAACTCACCGACATCTGGGTCATCAACCCGCGCAGCTGCAGCAAATGAGCTAACTGCCACGGGACCCCTTTGATCATCATTATCTTACGCAACTGCAGGCAAATGGGCAGCGGCCACAATATCATTCTCAACTGCGACAAATCCAACGTAGCTGCATCATGTTCGTTGTGCGCTGCTGGAACATCAACATGAAACATGCGTGGAAAAACCCATGGAAGCAAAAACCAAACTCCAAGCACCATGGTAGTGAAAATCGCAAACCAGCTGACTTCTTCTTCTTCTTCACCTCCAACTGAGTTGCATGCTTGCAGCGCGGATGTCGAATCTGCGCACAAACACACGACCAGGGTCATCGCTCCCCTCCAAGGATTGTGTGGACATGTTGTAGATGCCCAAAACTGCCATTAGAGAACGCACGCGGCTACATCCCAGCCGCTTGGTGCCAATGTCAGCAGGGTTGGAATGGCCTGAAACTGCAGCAATGTTGACTGTCCCGCAAGCTACCAACTGCTGTAGCCACCAGATGCGGCATGATAGATGCCTGAATCTTCCAACGCTGATACGCTGAAGTATTCCTCTGGTTCCAGATGAATCGGTGTAGAGATGAATGTAGGTTGGCGTTCCATTCAACAAAAAAATGAAGCGAGCCAAGAGGACAACGTCAGAGCATCCAAATGAGCCGGCGTAGACTTCAGCCTCTGCAGAAGGTAGGTTTTTCTTGTCTCTGACTCCTTGACCCTAAAAACAATCAATCAATGTCAATGTGACATGTCAATCTCAACAAATTCAAAACTGCTCATGCATTTCACAAGTCACTCGGCGCAGCATTCTTTTTTTCAGGATCGGGGGAACATCCGGTTTGAGATTCGGGCTTTCTCATTCTGAGTCTCTACATCCGAGTTTCCAGCCTGTTGGTTGTTCGACCCATCTGGTTGGAACATCAGCTGGCTTTCTGCTAAGCGGCTGGATTGGGATCGGTTTCCATATCCCCCCTGTCCCTGCTGTAGGGTCAGGGAGGGCGGGAAAAACAAAATGTCAATGTAGTGAAATGTTCGATGATGTCATGTTCATGTCAACATGTTTTTTTACATGCCAGTGACGCAACACTTGAAATGACATGAACATGAAAGAGCTCAGATGCTCTTAATGCCTTCTTCGTTGAAGGTCTCCAAGCCAAAATTCACGACATTCAACTCATTAACTTCTGAACATTTCCAACTCCAATTCGATATGTTCCAAATTTCAGTACTGATTTTCGATAGCCAATGTAACATGTCAATAGTTTCAGTTATGAATCTTTCGAAATCTGAAGTCTGCCGAAATCAAGAAAACAGAACACGTCACAAAATTGTCGATTCCTCGGTTGGGTTTCTGTTGATTGTTTTTAGGGTATTTCATGCAGCTAAGCATGAAAAAAATCAAGTCGAAGGATCCAAGAAAGTTCTATCCACGTTGTGTAAAATCCCTTCTTGTCTTTGACTCCTTGACCCTAAAAACACTCAATCAATGTCAATGTGACATGTCAATCTCAACAAATTCAAAACTGCTCATGCACTTCACAACTCACTCGGCGCAGCATTCCTTTTTCACGATCGGGGGAACATCCGGTTTGAGATTCGGGCTTTCTCATTCTGAGTCTGTACATCCGAGTTTCCAGCCTGTTGGTTGTTCGACCCATCTGGTTGGATCATCAGCTGGCTTTCTGCTAAGCGGCTGGATTGGATCGGTTTCCATACCCTCTTTTTCAAGAACCGAGTCGTCTGTTCTCTGCCGCTTTGACTGGCCAATCTGCAACCTGGTCTTGGCACTCAAACCTCGGCAGGAAATGGGCTTTCCAACGGAGTGCCGCTTCCTGACCTTCGAATCGGGACGGCTCGTCCGCCGGGTTGCTCTTGCTGGGCACCCTTTCTACCCACCAGAATGATGGCAAATGGACCTCGATTGCATAGAAGGCCTTCACTAAGTCATCCATTGTGGGACTATTAGAGCTGCCTTTAACGGCGCCCCCTCGGGCTGAGTTATTATAAACAAAGAGGAGAACCCTTCGACTATGCAATTCGTGTTTCCACTGCCACCTGACAAGAACCATTGCAAGAAGCTCAATTTGGCATATGAGCTGATCTCCTACCAATCCTTTCCAAAGGCTAAGCAGGTTCTCTTGCACACGATCTTGGATGACCACGCGGGATCCTGTAGACTCATCCAAAAGGGCAGCTCCCAAGCCGGCAACTCCGTCCTCCCAAGATCCCCCAGTGAACACCAACACGGTTCGGGTGTTAATGCTTATCGGGATGGTCCTGGGTTGAACGCTACTTAGTAAGATAAGGACCTCTTCACACCAGTTTTTCAACTGGGGCATGTGGGGATGACCTTTATCTACCAAGGCGTATTTCAAAGATCTGCCAGCGAAGTATCCGGTTGCGAAATTCAAGAGGCCATGTATTTCTTGTGCCTCGGCTAGGCTCATGACCCCAGTCTCTTTGACCTTGAGCAGTTTTGATGAGATCTTGACCCTCCCTTCTCTGTTTCAAGGTGACTGAGTCAGAGTTTCGCAGCCCGGACAGGTCTAGAGTCAGCACCAACACATCAAAGGCTGAGGCAAAGGGCTTGCCTTTTGGCCCCGTTCTGTCGTGACGCCATCCCAAGAGGTCAAGGAAGTCGGAAACCAAAGTGTCCGTTTCCTGGGCGCTTGCCTCTGGCAAAAACATAGGATAATCATCAAAGTACACAGACGCTGGCACTTTCAGGAAAACATTGATCAAGAACCACAACGACCTACTCATCCGGTTGAATGCGTAGACGGCGTACACCGCTGCAGTGGACCCAAACCTCAGGGCGTTAGGGATGCAGTACCGGGCATCCCCTCTGCTGTCACGGAAGAAGACAACAGCCAGGTCTCTGTGGCTGGGCAAGATGGGGAGTTGTTTGTATGCTTTGGACAGGTCAAGCGTTTTGCCAACAAGCTCTTTTGTCTTCCCCAGCTCCAATGTCAAGGCCACCACGTAATCTGCATCCTGTAGCTCCAAGGCTGGTCTGCAGGGAACCGCAGAACTTCGGAGTTCTACCTCTAAAGTTGATG